ATGACCCTCATACCCTAAGAGGGTCACTGGAGGGAATCCCATCACTCATCGTCCTTAAGCCATGCTCCAGCTTTATGGAGTTTACTGTATTGCAAGGCCGGCAAGGGCCATCATTGCAGCTGCCCAGCTCTGTTTCTTGGCCTCCTCCGGTGTCCCATACCCCATCATGCCCAGAGGTCTATGTGATCTTTGCGAGCTGCCTGCATCCTTCTTTAGCTCTTGAGGCTGCTTGTGCTGCCTTGTGTTTTCTTTGGAGGGCCGTGGTGCGAGTCAGGCAGAGTATGCAAACGGACAGCACATGCAGCAGGCAGCACTCCCTACCGGAAGGGCGCAGACAGTCATGTTTGTTTCCACAGATGTTGTGTTCGTAGGCTCTTGGGTGATACTTACCTCCGATTGCCGGGACATCCGTACTGCGAGTCTAGTGCTTCGTGGGACAAAGTGCTGAGTCATGGTGCAGGTGTTAGAGCACGTCGCATGGCAAGCTATGCCCACAAAACCTTCATCAAGGCCGAGTTGTAGTCGCAGTTGGTCCTGATGAATCAGGACTACCAGCGATCCTGCCAGCGATTTGCTTCCCGATGCGCACATGGGCACGACGCCCGCATGCAGCCATCAGGCCAAGGATTCACAGCCGCGAGTCCTCCGCCACATCTCACAGAGCAACAGTCGTGGCAGACCCGCTGCAGACGATGCGCAAGGCCCTCTGCCTTGGCCTCCCTGCTGCGACTGTTTAAGCAAAGAGCTGCCCTATAGGCTAATGCTTCTTCTCGGATGCCTGCGCGGCCATCCGGCTACCGCCCCACCTCTCTGTTGATTGCAGGGTCGTCATGGTAGTGGTGGACGAAGGTGACGCGTTTCGCAGCACCCAGGAGGAGCCAAAGCCCTAAGTAGCACTGCACAGTGCATCTGCTTCACGGCTCTGCCGTCATTGTGGACACCCATGCAGTGAGCAGCTTCACTTGCAGGGTCGATGAAATCTGTTCCGTGCATCGTGTGAGAATGTTAACCCTTTGCAAGCTCGGAGATCTGCTGGTGGCTTTCATGGGCTGAAGTCGCAAGGCATCCGCAGAGTTCACAATGTTCACACGAACAGACCTTCGGGATGTCTGCTATGTCTGGCCCCTCCCTGCAGAGCGGCCTCCGGAGTCTGATCCGCTTTGCACGGACCTGCCGCGTCGCGCTGGCGCAAGCCCTGCTCTCCTGCTGGGATGCTCTGAGTACGGGGTGTTCTGCAAAGGCATCTGTTGAAGGAAGCCGTCGTCGGCTCTGCATCTCTTGAAGGGTGCATGGAAGTGTCAAGCTTGCTACGAAGCGGACTGCAAAGTGCTCTCAGTACAGCAGTTGGCATGGGCAGCGCTTGCAGAGCTTCTGCACCTCAGCTCCTCCTCTTGAAGCACTTCTCCCGCAGGTGGTAGCAATGCGGTAGCACGTGGCAGGCCCCAGTGTTCGATGAGGTGTGCAAGGCTGTGCATGCCTGTGCATCCTGCAGGACCCGCCCATCATGGATGCACAGTCCAAGCAGAGCTCCCAGCCACAAAGCCACACGATGGCACGTCGACAGAGCAACACACCAACGGAAGGCAGACGAAGACGACAGCAGAAGAAGACACACGGACGCTTCGTCGTTCGGAGAGCTTCTGAGGCGACCGCGACTGCTCGCATTCTTAAGCGACGAGCTTGCGCTCAATCTGCGCATCCTGGGGCGGACCCTGTGGTCTTCTGCTTTGGGTACAGGGTTCAGGGAACGGTTCAGTGACTTTCGTACGGGCTTTCATAAAACCGTTGCAAAGATGGGGTGCAGACCTCTTTTTCGAGGCTGAGAGATAGCCGCTCTCCGTAGGATGACCTCTGGTGCCAAGTGGCTGGCGATGGGAAGGTGCATGGGCGTGTGTCTAGCTGAGCTGGAGGAGGCTGGGCTCATTGACAGGGTGGAAAGCAGCAACGACAGGGAATAGGAGGCCAGACAGGCACATCCTGTGTCGAGTGAATGAACCGATGGGAAACGTTGTGCCTGCTCCGTGCAGCTCGCTCTGCTCCTAGCTCCTGTTCCTTTTGGAGTCTGGAGGGTTGCTTAGTGTGTAAAAGCTCAGGTGTATGCTTTGCTATGTTCAACTTCCACCTGATAAGGACTGTGATCTGCAAGAGTAGGTGATAATGGATTTCGGGGTCTCATGGGGATATTGCAGGTTCTGTTGGCTGTACGGAGTGCTCAAACAAGGCTCGGAATAGAAACGAGGAAACTGCCGCCCGGACCCCCTCGTGGTTAGCAAGTTCTTGTGCACGATCATTGTGGGCAATCCACTTCGCCAGTGCCAGCGAATTGAAATCACCAGGAGTTTTCGAACATGACGCTACCCTGTGTTTCGACGGCCTTGTCTGCGCAGATCCTCGTGATGGTGTGACGTCACCGGATAAGAGCACGGGGTCCTTTAAGAACCTCTGCATGCCTTCAGCCCAGGCCGACAGGAGGGTGTCTCAAGCGAAGCCCGGACTGGCGCGAGCGTGAGCGTCTAAACCCTGAACCGTAAGATTCGTCAAGCCGCCCCGAGGACATCAAAACATTGCGCACGCAGAGGGGTGATGACCTCAACCTCCCCGCCCTTGTACTCGTGCGAGGTGCAGCATCAAGCTCATGGTCAATCTCCTTCTGCAAGAAGCCCAGCAGGCTAAGTCATGGGGATTCCATCGGTTGCCTAATGCCTGCCTTGTGAATGTGCTGTCCGGATCGAGCCGCGAGTAAGAGTCGAGAGATTTCGGCCTCGGCGGCTTGCCCCGGTGCCTGGCCATCACATGTCTGCTCCCCAAGGACCTGGGCGGAAATCGACGGAGAACTTGAAACCTTGCGGCACAGGATTTCCAGAGCATTGAGCCTGCACCTGCAGTGAGGTTTCCAGCTTAACAAAGCTGACGCGCGACATCTCCCAAGTCTCTGCTTTAGGCTTTGTGCATGCCTTGGCACATGCCTTGGCACGCCTCTTGGCTCGCCGCATCTCGCCGCCTCGGCATTGCCGGTACTCTGTGTGCCCCTTCGTGACCTGACATCTTCGGCCGTTCCGAATGCCCCCAAACGAGATTGTAAGCACCACGCAACTACGTGGTCATGACATTTACAGGTGAATCATAAGTAGTCTCACTGCAGACAATGGCTGTGGCACCCTCTTCATGCCAGTTGCATAGCCCTCCTCTCGGCAAGTCTCTTAAAAACCTCGCACCCCGAGGTCAGACAAGTCACGTGGCCTTCACCTCACCAGAGCATCTGCCCCCCTTGAGGCATGTCTCCACAGCGCCTCTCGGCGCCTTTCTTGTCAGCTCCACTTGACCTCCACTCGGCTCCCCTGAAGATGGCCTTTCAGGCTGGGGCAGACACGGGTCCGCGCCGCCGAGTCGGGGTGGGCTTCGTCTACGCTGCGCGCTTTGCGGGCTTGAGTTGGAGGGTCCGGTTGCGGCACTCGACCTTGCAGCTTTGCAGGGGAATTTACGAGAATAGGGGACCCCTATAGTATTGACCCCCAAATAGTAGGATCCCTTATTAAAAGAAAGGTACCCCTAATTATCGGAAAGCCCCTGATTGATAGACCCAAGGAGGCCAGCGAGGCGAGCGAAGCCTGCGAGTGCCAACCAGCAAGGAGCCGCAGCGGCTTTGGCCTCTGCCTTGCGCTGTCACGTCGGCCAGGGTGGCAAGCATGCGGGGTCTCTTAGCATAGACTTAGAGAGGAGCGGGTTCCGTAATCCGCGTGGACTTGATGATTTAGAGTCAGGAAAGACGTAAACGAAGGGGAGGAGGACACCCCTTCCCCATTCTATAGGACGGTACATGAACAAGCAATCCACTGCAGCTTCCGCACGGCTTTTGGCATAGACGTTTTTGTAGTGAAGTTAGGAAATTCGTTCCGAAGTGCAGACTATTTCGGATTCGTCCCGATGCACCGACGTCCGTCCACTGCTTCGCAGCAGAAGTTTCCAAACAAGCAGCTGATACGGGGGCCTGTTGGGAACGAGCACGCAACAGCCAAGCCACGAGACGTGAGCGGGGCATGAGCGGGGCATGAGGGAGCATGGCCACACAGACTCGAGCCACAGCATCGAGGTCCTTGTGCACATGCGCAGGTATCCTGGGAGTTCGGTGTGGGCGCGTGATTCTCAAGCCAACAGGGTCCAGGGCTTCTGCCAGCTTGATGCGAGCCCCATGAGCTCTCTGATGGTGTTCTTTTGTGCACAATGCCGTCAACAGACAGTAGGAGAGTTCCGACTTCCGAGACATGGAATGAGAGAGACACCGGTGGCTAGACAGAGACTCGGATCTGAGAAGGGGTCAAATTGTGTTGGTTTAGTAAGGGGCGGCTTTTTAGCAGGTCACGATGCAGGACGACTAATAGAGGATAGCCAGGATGGAATCTTGCTCTTGTACAGCGAGAATGGACGCCCTACTTCAAGGACATGCCAGGCATGAGCAATGTGTTTGACGCCATCTCAGATGTACAGAACGTCCGGAGGATCTCACCAATCTTGCTTCAGGTGAGGTACAGTTTTTCACGCTGGTGTATGGCTTTGCTTGGGACAGCTCGAGGTAGCAGCTAGGGCAGAGCCGCGTTTACAGCAATAAGCCTTGCTGTTGACCTCGACCTCCCGGCCAGAGATTCTCATGCTGAGACCCCGCGAGCCTCAAATCCCTTTCTGTACAGAACCCTAAACCCTCAACTCTAAACTCTAAGCTAGTGGGGTGAGCTACTTCCCGTCCCTGATGGGTGGGTGAGCGCCTTCGTCTCAGACCCGGTTTGGGCCAGCAGGGGTGTGCCCAGTCCTCGGGCGAAGTCCTCTGGATGGCGAGGTTGGAAGCGTGTGAGAGACCGTGCTCAGGGCAGTTGTGTGTCTTGCTGTGTTGCTGACACTCGCTTGGTTGGAAGTTGGTAGAAATTAGGGTTTAGGGTTTAGGGTTTAGGGTGGAAGCCTTTGGAATCGTTGAGCGTTGTTGCTTGGTGGGCAGTGCCCCTCGAAACATGCTTCGGAAGCATCTTGGTACAAGAGACACGAGCTACGCCCAGCATCGGGCCAATCTCCGCCAGGGTTTAGGGTTTAGGGTAACCTCCGGCAGCATGCATCACCACGAGCTGAGCAGAGTTCCGACCCGTGTGCATGCTTTCTGGTCTCGCAGCTGGCATGGTTCTACCTGTATGAAGATCACCACTGTGTTCCTTCTCAACAATGCCACCGCCGCTGCTGTGGTCGGTCAGCACAGCATCAGCATTTTCTACCTTCTTCCTCGCCGGCCTCGGGGTTTTACCACAGTCTTCCAAACCGCACTGCACGTGGTGCATCCGCAACGGTGTCCTGACGTACATACTGACAATGTTGCTTTGGCATCCGCGGCGGCTGGTGTTTGTTGACCGACTCTGCATCTCGCAAGCAGACCCCGCGCTGAAAGCGGAGGGGCTCTTCAGTTTGGGGGCAAGGAAATAGACCTTTAAGGAGAGCTCAACACAGAATCCATCAGTTGTCACTGTATGATGCTGCATAGGCGACAGCGGCTTAGCTGATGCAAAGAAATCATCATGAGCCCTGATTGAGCGTCAAGCTAATGTCGTCTGTATTTCACTGAAGGTTCTTTCCCTGCCACTCGCAGGCGAATGGACACTGTTCTACTCGCCGTTGCAATCCGTCAACGGTTGAGCGTCAGCAAAGTGTCATGCCAGCACGCCGAAATCGGAATTTGTCTTCACGGAGAGTGGAAAAAAGGAAGCCTTCTGAAGGGCCCGCCGAAGATTCCGCGAGAACGGCGCCCATCAGAACGCGGCATCGGCCTCCAGATCCGCTCCGTGAGGCCCTCGAGTCCCTTGCTGCGACGGTTGCTGCCGTTGCTGCTGCTCCGCTCCACTTCCGAAGATTCCGTCTGCCGGACTTTGCGAGAAATGCGACGCACGGCACCGTGAGGGATGCGAAAGTCACGAGAACTTGTGCCCAAGGCTTCGTAGTGGCCTCAGAGGCCTTCGGCCTCGTGCACCTCGGCGGGAAGCCGCTGGTCACTGAGGAATAGGATGGGAAGCCTCTCTCCTCACACCCTCCCCTCACACATCACATGCGTGCCCTGCGTGCCGTGCGTGTTGTGCGTGTGCTCGCTTCTCGTCGCCGGGCAGCAGGGCGCGCCTTCAGAAGGGCCTTCGCTAGGTGGTAGCGACGGCCTCCCTGCCTCGCTTCGCTCTCCAGGCCCCACCCTAGGAGGCCCTACAGAATTAGGCCCGGCTTCTTCGTAAAGAAGCAGAGTCCTTTGGCCAGACGCCACCCAGCGGATGCCAGCACCAGCGCCGCGCTGGCACCTTAAGCCATGTATGCCTGCCTTCGCTCTCAGTTGGTCAACTGCTTGAGATTCTGAAGGGTTCAGCTGAGGATGGGGCCTGGACTGTCTCAGCCCTAAACCCTAAACCCTAAACCCTAAACCCTAAACCCTAAACCCTAAACCCTGCTTCGAGTGGGTGTCCTCGGGCATTTCGAAGAGAGGTACCCAAGGATACTGAAACTCGGCTTCCAACCCGCTCGTGCATCTTTTGTTCCATGTGCAGCGTGATCGATGCGGGTCGTATCCGGCGCAGCCCCTGAACCCTAAACCCTAAACCCTAAACTCCTAAACCCTAAACCCTAAACCCTGGGGCCTGGATCTGTGTGGATGTGCTGTGAAGTGCCAGCACCGGTGCAAACACCGGTGCAAGCACCGGTGCCAGCACTGGCTGGCAGATGCCTCCGAGTAATCCTTGTGCCGACCGCTGCGCACGACACGGGGCTTGCATCAGCTGCTGATTTGCAGCGCGGGGAGCCACTGTCAGCAGGGTCCCTCTCTCTCTGTCGCTCTCTCTCGCTCCAAAAACTCTCGCCTGCCGACTGTTCGAGCAAGGAAGACGTGCTAAGGCACCGGCTCCTCGTTCGCAGGCACTTGACTGAGAATCCTCCACTTCACGCGCGTGAGACAACGCACCCTGTGAAGCCCTCAAAGGCCTGCACGGGTGCGGCCACAGCATTCACCTACCTCTCCACCATGTCCGAGGGTTGAAAGCAGGATGCAGCAATGTTCAGATGGCCGGTGGATGGGAGCGTCGCTGGCTGGCCTGCACCTCGGGCACCCGAGCTGAGCGATTCTGCCGGACGCTGAAGGTATGTGAGAATTGGACGCGGAGAGAAATGACGAGATCGAGGGTTACTTGTAAAAGCCCGAAGCCCGGCAAGCCCCAAAAGCCCTGAACCTCAACCCTGACCCTACAAAGTCAGAATTCCCAGACCTGCAAGCTCAAGGAATCCTTGGAACTGTTAGGCATAAGCCGAAAGCATCCCACGCAAATGTTAGTAGAGAGGTATGCGCTCCCATCCTTCGCTAACCTTTTGTACATACCAAGACACGAGCAGCAAGAACAACTAGCACAAGCACAACCACCGCAACCCAGCAACCACGAAACCGGTAGGCACCACAATCGCAGCAACCACAACAACAACCATGTAGCACATCAACACCGCATCAGCAATAACAACGTGAAGAACAGACGAGCACAGCAGGAAAATGCAAGCAGGACGATGATGACGACAGCCACCACCACCGCAGCTTTAACTGTGACTGCAGCCATGTCACCACTACCACCTTGCAGGAGTGCAGTCGCCTGTTGTATGTGCCTCCAGCAATCTTCTGCCTCTGTGTGTGACTGCAGCCATGTTGTGTGTGTTGTGTAGCTGCGGCGTGCTCCTCCTCTTGAGTGCAGGCCCTCCCAAACCCACAACACCCCTATTACCCCCTGCTGGTAGGTGCCCCGCACACCCCCGCGACATAGCAATATGATTCTTCCAAGGGCCTACGCCTTGAAACCGACACCCTGCATAGGCCTTAAACCTTATGAAAAGGGTTTCCGCTGAGCCATCTTGCATGGTTTCTACAGCTCGCCTCAACCTCAACCCCCAAAATCCCTAAGCCCTAGGCCCCTTCAACTCTAAACCCTAAACCCTAAACCCTAAACCCTAAATTAAAACCCTAAACCCTAAACCACTAAACCCCTAAACCCCCCTGCCTCCATTCAAGACGAAGCCAATGTCATTGCAAACGCTGGCATACCTCGTAGTTGCAATTGGTTAATAAGTACCATGAACCTCCAAGTAATGATTCGGGCTTTGCCTTTGAGGACTCCTGAACAGTGATGTGTGTGTGGGCTCAAGAGACGACAGATCATCGACTAAGCAGCCTCGTTTTCCGGAAGAATTCATGTCTGTGGCTTGTGAGTCCATCTTTGGTCCAACTTTCAAGCCCCGCGGCAAGACTTGAACGAAAAGAAGTCCCCAGAAAGCCATGGCGTCGCACGAAAAGCTGCTGAATTCGCCCGCGGAGTTAGCCACATTTCTGGAAGGTCAGGCAGTTCATGAGCTGCCAGAGGCGGAGGTGCCAGAGCTCGGAAGATGCAACTTGCTGATTCACGCTGCATACCTGGGGCAATTTCAGGTGGTTGAAACTCTGATCGCAAACCACGCCGACCTGCGAGCCGTCTCGGAAAAGGGCGGAAATGTGGTGGACTGGTTGTGCTTTCGCAGCGACACCAAGGCCGAGTTTCTGCAGGCAGTTCTTCAGAAATGGACGGAGAACTTCGGCGAGTCGGACTTGAAAAGCGTGCTGAACCATGCCCGGATCATCCAGGGCACGCCGCTGATGTGCGCGGTCTTTGCACCCAATGTGGCTGTGGCCCAATTGCTCCTGAGGCGGGTGATGCTTTTCATGTTCCCCGTGTTTGGTCAGATCTGCTGCAGCCCATGTTCCTGAAACCTTCAATTCTGACCAACAACAACGGCATTGAAGTCACAGAAATGTATACAGAAGAGGAGGCTTTTAACGTAGTCTCAAGCGTCTGCTGCGCGGTTTCTGCCGAAGAAAGATCTCCTCCCTCCTATGAAATCCCTAAACCCTAAACCCTAAACCCTAAACCCTAAACCCTAAACCCTAAACCCTAAACCCTAAACCCTAAACCCTAAACCCTATTTCCCAGGCATGGGGCCGATGCCACCTATGCCTCCGCAGACGGTTCCTGCGCTCTTGACTTGGCTGCCCAGGCAGGTGGCATCAGGGGCCAGCGGCTGGTGTCGATGCTGCTGGAGGCACAAGCTGATCCGAATGTTGGACATTTCGGATGCTGGGTTTTGGTTGGAAAGGGCTTTTGATGACTTTTGGGGGCGCCCGAGGGCGCGAGAGTTTTTTGCTTTAGAGAAAGGGAGATGGGCATGCGCATCTTGTGCCTCAAGAGTAGACTCAGCCACTCTGACTTTCAGCAAGCTCCAATGTTTCGACTTTTGGCTTAGAAGCCAATGTGTGATGGTTGGTCTGACAGGCCATTTGCAATTCTGTCATGGCCAATCTACTTAATATCGCTGTGTCAAAGTTGGCTTGCCAGTGTTCATGACAGAATACCAGACATTCGCGCGGTTTCAATGACTGTGCACGACTGGACATATTCTGCTGCACCCTAAACCCTAAACCCTAAACCTTAAACCCTAAACCCTGAACCCCAGGACCATTGTTCCTGGCAGCGCAAGAGAATGATGAGACGTCAGTCAAGAACCTGCTGGCGGCCAGAGCGCGTCCCAGTGGCTTGGGATACTTGGAAATTTAGGATTATTAGGGTTTAGGGTTTAGGGTTTAGGGTTAAGGGTGTAGGGTTTAGGGTTATGTTTTTTTTGCTAGGGTTCCAAGTTCCGCACAGGTGGTATTTCCAGCTCTGACCCCGTGGAGTGTGCCGCGCGATTCGGATTCTTAGTTAGTTGAGTAAGTACACTTTACCACTTTTTTTGGGATAGGACACTCCCCTATAGAACTGAACGTGTGCACCGTTCTTGGGGGGCTTCGGAACTCAGCAACTAAGGATTCCTTGGGGTGCTGAAGTTGCTGCTGGCCGCGGAAGGGGCCCCAAGGGGCAGCCAGCTCTCTTCGGCTTTGAAGTTGGCGCATGAGCAGCAACACGTGGATGTAGAAAGGACTTGCTGGTTGGTAGGGAATGCAGGAATGAGGTACCCTATATCCCCCCCATACATACCCTTTAAGGGATTTCACAGGGCTCATTCCCTACTGACCAACAGCAAGAGGATCCTCATCAAGGCGGGCGCGGCGGATGACCTGAAGCTGTCGCAGAAACGGACCTCGGAGGCTGTGGATGACGCGCAGGGGCTGCTTCCATGTGGCTTTAAGCCTGGAACAGACAAGCTTCCGAGCTTTGCCCAAGCCAAACCGGAGTCTGAGATAGGACAGATCCGAGTGGAGGAAGTTGACGGTTGCTACAAGCTCCATTTCCAAGGTGGCGACTCCATGACCGCAACTGCCATCAGCCCGGTACGTTTATGTCCGTCTCACACCCACTTCTACTTCGAGGTCTCCGTGGAAAGTCTGGACCTCCTGATGGCCGTGGGCTACGCGCGCGACGGCGAGACGCCGCAGCAGACCCTGCCGGGCTGGAGCCCAGGAAGCTATGGCTTGCATTCGGACGATGGGCTGCTCCAGGCGAACCTCTATCCCCCTTGGGATTTTTTTTTGAATTTTCGTTTGTATACAACCCAAGAGGGATATTGTCCATTTTTTTAATTCAGGTTCTAAGGGGAGTATAGGAACACCTCAGCGACGCGGATCATGCCGGGCTGGAAGGTGAAAGCTGGCAGCACCGTGGGGATGGGTATCCAGTGGACCGGCTCCGACTCCTATCATCTCTTCGTGACCCTCGATGGACAGAGGCAGAGTCGTGAAGTGCCACTGGCAGAGGACGGAAGTGACCTCTTCGACTTGTGGCCCTTGGTTGGTGCAGATCGATCTGCAACGCTCCTGGTGAACCTGGGCGCGCGGCCCTTCGTGTACTCCGACGCGCAGATCGAGCAGGCGATGCTCAGCAGGAAGGCTGCGACAGCGAAGAAGGCCAAGTGAAGGTGAGAAAGCTGGCGCCCTGGCAAGTGGTTTCCGGCGATGGAAGTTCTCGCCCTCTGTGTGTGTGTTTGGTATTTTCCAGAAGCCTACACCTTCTCGGCCAAATGGCATCCCCTCCAAAGTGATTACATCCATGCAAACGGCACCATTCCCTGAGTTTCGTGATTCGAAGAGTAAAGCCAGTAATCAGTTCTTGCAGCCCACATCAACTGTTGCCTTTGTTGAGAAAAGGTAACAACGGACATTGGGAATTGAGCGTTGAACGTATGCTCCATGAGCCCAAAAAGCAAAAAGCCCTAAGCCCTAAACCCCAAACCCCAAACCCTAAACCCTAAACCCTAAACCCTAAACCCTAAACCCTAAACCCTAAACCCGCCCACCGCCCCTCTCATTCTAGAGGTGAGTGGGCGCCGTCGAGCGCTCAGCGAGACCATGGCAGGCTCTGCTGAGCTGCAGAGCCTGCCAACCGCACCCCTGAGGGGTCGCCAGGCTACAGTCGCCTAGCTCAGTGACTGTTTATATATTATAACCCTAAACCCGACCTCCCTGCTCTCGGGAGGCCCGGGGCCCCCCTGGAGGCCTCCCTGGACCCTCTGGAGGCTGTCCCGACTCCGGGCTTGTTCGCTGGACCAGATCAGTGCTCAAAAATCGCGCTCAAAAATCGCAGACCCTTTTGCGTCTTCGAGCCTGAAAGGCCCCTAGAAGGGCCCCCTGAGGCTCCGGGAGCCCCTGCAAGCCCCGAAACGCCCCTTTTTTCCCGAAAGGCTCCTCTGAGAGGCCCTGACAGGCCCTCCGAGGCCGCTGCGAGGGTCCTGGGAGGCCCTTTCCTGGGAGGCCCTGAAAGGCCCCTGGCGAAGCAGGGCCCATCAAAGGTCCCGGGTCCTGGGAGGCCCTGCAGCCTTTGGGAGGCCCCTAAGAGGCCCCGTTCTGGGAGGCCCCTCAAAGGGCTCTGAAAGGTTTCTGCTGCTAGGCCCCTGGGAGGCATCTGGGAAGCCAAAGAAGACCCGTGAAAGGCCCTGAAAGCTGAAAGGGTCCTACAAGGCCCGTGTCAGGGCTGCTTGGCAGGCCTCTGCGAGGGGCTCTTGAGAGGGAGAAAGCTGCGAAGAGAGGACGCAGACCCTGCGAGCCGCTTGGAAGGCTGCCAGGGCCGTGACTCTTGAGGCGAGCTTCTAGATCTTTCCAGCAAAGAGTCTTTCGCCATGCAGCCTCTACGCTCCGGCATAACGAAGAAAAACAATGAGAAGGCCCTCCGGCCGAAGACACCCCCCAACGCAAACGCTGATTTGGCTCTGGTGAGCTTCTAGACATGACTTTCGCAAAGCCTGTTTCCTGTAACACCATGACATCCCGACGTCGAGAATAGAAACGATGAGAAGGCCCTCCGGCCGAAGACACCCCCCAACGCAACCGTTAATTTGGTTCTCGCAAGCTTCTAGACATGACTTTCACAAGGCGTGTTTATAGCAACAAGCCTGAGTGCAGAAGTGTTTGGATGTGGGCTGGCTTTGGTTTGGCTGGCTCTGGTTTGGTTCGTTTTGAGTAGTGTTTGGGTGGTCTTGGGGTGGGCATGTCTGCACACAAGTGCGTACAGCTGAACAATGCTACACCCTAAACCCTAAACCCTAAACCCTAAACCCTAAACCCTAAACCCTAAACCCTAAACCCTAAACCCTAAACCCTAAACCCTAAACCCTAAACCCTAAACCCTAAACCCTAAACCCTAAACCTAAACCCTAAACCCTATACCCTACATGTGAATGTGTAGTTCCACGCAGGAACCCACGGCCCTAGACCCTGAGCCGCATAAAAAAAACAAGCACTTCCGAGAATCGCCCAGAGAGCCCCCAATACTGTGCCCCCCCTTCATGAAGGAAATGGAACTTAGGGTTTAGGGTTTAGGGTTTAGGGTTTAGGGTTTAGGGTTTAGGGTTTATGTCTAGGGCAATTATACAAAAAAGGGGGCCCTTAGCCTGACTTTAGGCATGTTCCTTCAAAAAAGGGACCCTTAGCCTGGATTTGAGGCACATTCCTTCTTTAATTGGGCTCTGGGACCGGTCTTAGGGATTCCAAGCAAGCCCTTGTTTCCGCTCTCGGCGCAGTTCGGGGAATGCAGAGCGGAGGGCTTTCAAACTCAGGCCTCCACCTGAGCAAGTTCTAAGCAGCACCTTTTGGGGATGTTTCTGTTCCTGTACAAGTACAAAAAGATGTCAACGTAGGTTCCCTTGGCCTAGGTACCCTGCGCTTTCCATCACGGCTACTTCCAGATGGCACTTGCACGGCGCGAGTGGGAGTTGCTCAAAATTTCAGCAGGCTCTAAACCATCAAAAACCCGAAGCCCGAAGCCCGAAACCCGAAGCCCGAAACCCGAAGCCCGAAAGCCGGAAGCCGGAAACCACAACGGAAACCACAAACGCTTTCCTTTCAAGGCCTTCAGAGTTTAGGATGAACCGCGGGCGGACATTGGACGTAAGGGGCCAAAGATGCGCCCTTGAACCCCTCGAACCCCTAATGTCTGCAGCTTGTTTTGGGTTTGTAGAGTGTAGGGTCTAGGGTTTAGGGGTTTAGGGGCTTAGGGTAACTCTTAAACCCTAAGCCCTAAACCCTAAACCCTACACCCTAAACCCTAAACCCTTAAACCCTAAACCCTTTGTTCGCTGGAAGAGCCGAGGTTCTCCCCGCCTTCGGAAGAGTATGAGGTGGGACCTGGCAAGCTTTGGAGGGGTTCCAAGGGTTCAGGGTTGTAGGGTTGTAGGGTTGTAGGGTTGTAGGGTTGTAGGGTTGTAGGGTTGTAGGGTTGTAGGGTTGTAGGGTTGTAGGGTTGTAGGGTTGTAGGGTTGTAGGGTTGTAGGGTTGTAGGGTTCAAGGTTCAGGGTTCAGGGTTCAGGGTTTAGGGTGTAGGAATTATAAGGTTTAGGGTCCAGGGCTCAGGGTTCCGGGTGTAGGAATTATAAGGTTTAGGGTCCAGGGTTCAGGGTTTAAGGGGTTTAGGGTTTAGGGTTTAGGGGTTAGGGTTTCGATTGCTCTGGAACCTCAATGGGCGTCATTCGAGTCCTTCAATCATGGAGCAATGGAACCAGCTTCTGGAAGTCGGCTTCCTAAACCCTAAACCCTAAACCCTAAACCCTAAACCCTAAGCCCTAAACCCTAAACCCTAAACCCTAAACCCTAAACCCTAAACCCTAAACCCTAAACCCTAAACCCTAAACCCTAAGCCCTAAACCCTAAGCCCTAAACCCTAAACCTCAAGTGCAAGTAGTTCACCGCAACCCAAACCATTTCACTTCGTGGGAGGCATGGACCGACGATGGGGTCTTTGACTGGAGAATGGAGGAATGAGCCCCCGGGGCGCCACAAGTACACTTAGGGTTTAGGGTTTAGGGTTTTAGGGGTTTTTCTAGGACCTAAGACGCTGTCTCTTGTTGGCTATTAAAACACTCGCATTACCTTAGGCCTGAAACCCTCCACTTCAACTCAGCAGCAGTCCCAGATGACCATGTTCCTAAAGTATGGCGAAAAGTTTGGAGACTAGTTGATTCTGTGCCATTCCGATGCACTCTAGCAAGATGCGTGAGACAGAATGCGACCTTTCCCGTAGCTGCCGTCGTGTAGCCAGGCTGTCTCGCCCCAAAGAGGCTTGAGATCCAGCAGTCAAAGTACTGTCCTGACTTCCGAGCAGACTCACCTACGGGTGGCAGCAGCGACAGTGCGAAAAGTCAAGTCTTTTGGGTAGATTCGAGGCAAGCGCGGTAGAACTCAGGCACGGTCGATGTCCCACGTCTCCGTGCAACAGGCAACACGCCTCTTGAAAACTTGCTGCTGCGCAAAACCCATGCGCGGGTTCGAAACGGCTCGAATCGCTCCGGTTCGACACATTCTGTTTGGGGTCTTCGCTGGTGACGTATGGAAAGGAGTTGGCTATAGTTGGCTTCCAGAATGGTCCCCAGTTGTGAATCTGCAAGCCGTAGCAAAGCTTAAAAACTCTGGACCGACACGTGCCATGAAAGGTCCGAAAAAAGCATGTTGCGTTAGTTTGACGAAGCAAACAACAAGCCAGTGTTGACTTGTTGTGGAAGGTGCTTTGCAGCCCTCACACTCAATGGACAAGCCTGCAACAGACCAAGCCCTTAAAACCCAGGGGCGAGTGCAGTGCCAGCAGCCAGCACGGAACGCACTCTGCGGAGGATGCTGGGCGGGATCATTGGCGGAGGGCTCATGGCTCTTGAGCGTGCGTCGCGGCACAAGCGACGGGAGGCTGATCGTCTGTGTAGGTGTGCGGTAGAGCACGTTTCGTGGTCATGTGGCCTTTGCGCGGAGGAGAGGGGGCGATGTTGTTGGCGCAGTTGGTGCTGTTGTCGGTTCGCTTGGAGATGTTGCCAATTTGCTTTACCAACGCGGCCATCGTTCTGGCTGAGTTGCCGTTGGCGGATGATGAGGTACGCGAGGTGCAAGTCTTTTTGGTGGATATAGCACATGATTCGATGGTACTCTGGGGGTGATCTCGCAGCACTTGAAAGGAAATATCCGCGTCGTGAAACTTGAAACTGTTGAAAACGGGCTTTTGGAAAATGGACATATTTGGGCTCCTCGCGCGCAGGGCGGTTTCTAGTGTCGTTTATCTTTGGGTTGAACAGTCATTGTGGGATGGGATCAGCTTGTGATTAAGTGTCGGAGGTTTTGCTGCCGCACAACAGTACAAAGAACACGTGTCACCACCCTCACTTCAGCATCTGTTATCCTTGCATGTTCTTGTAATCTGACGTGCCGGAGTGCTTCTCAAGTGATGTACAAAGCATTGATAGGGTTCATGTTCTGCACTTGGCATGAAGCAAGGCCTTTTGATTGCAGCTGATTTTGCATCTTTACTTTTGTTATAGCAGGACCGAAGGCTCGTAGGTGCCCAGATGCAGCGGGAACATGCGCGTGCTCGCGAATCTTTTCGAGGGCGCTCTCGTCCCGAGGACTGCATCGCCCTGTCGATGAGCCATCTCGCCTTTCTAGGGCAAGCTGTCATCGCGAGGCTGAAGGTGTCGGGTAGCTTGCCGTGCTTGCCAGCGCAGCACAGAGTAGAAGAAGCCTTTCATGTGTCAGCAGACCCAACCCGGTCGCGGTCGTGACGTTGCTAGGCCCGGGCCAAGTCCGCCCTCAGAATCTACTCGCGCATGCGCAAGCCCCCGCTCCAGCCCACCTTCGCTTCGTGCCCAACACTGCCCAGCTAGACCAGCGCTCGTGGCAGAACGTGCTCTGAGCCGAAGTGGAAGTGGTCTTGGTTGACTTAGCATGTCAGTAACACGATTCGTGGGCATGGCCCACGATGGAGGGAGGAGGCGCGAAAAGTCCAAGCTTCGCAGCGCGGCTCAGCCGCTCAGCTCCGGGCACGATTCTTGCCTGCTTGGGCTCCTTTTGCAGGGGCCCAAGAGAATTGGGGCTTGGGGTTCTTATAGTGAAAAGAGAATGATGTGGCGTGGCCGCTTGTACACGTTTGGTTGGCCGCAGGCCCTCCAGCTTCCCAGCAAGCAGGAGAGCAGATGCTGCAACCGAAACTCCGTAGAAGCCTTGCCTGGGCTGTGTCAGAGCCTGTATCTGCCCGAAGCGGTGCGCCCCAGAGGAAGGCGTTTTGCGTGGAGATGCGTTTCGCAGCAAGGCGTTGCGCGTAGTGTGGTCCGCTCCTTGGCGCAGCTGCCTGTCGGCATCTTTCTGAAGGACAATGACACACCCCTCAGTCCTTGCAGGCTGCGTGCAATTTTGCCCGTGGCGACACCATGATGGAATGGCTATTTTCGAGAAGGGGCAGCCTTCATACGACCTCAGCTGTAGCATGCTGAGTCACAGGGCGGCGGCTTCCTTTTTTGCAGTCTTTGTTGTATCTCGAGAGGCTCCCATGTCGTGTCCTGGACGGTAAAGAGGCATTGCAAGCTTTTAAGCTGCAGTCGCTAGATTGGGTACAGCTCGAGGAGTGCGCTCCGTGTCGTGCCCTGGACTGGAAAAGGGATTCTCGTCTATAGTGCCGAGCTATTCTGGGATTTGTGGAAGATGTCCTGCGCACTGGCGCCGGGTTTTCGGCTCGGTGGCCCTGCAGCTTCCTTGATCTTCCGTGGCTCCTGGCGGATGCAGATGCTCGCGCTTGGCTTCGAGGCCGGGCATCTCCTTGGCCATGATCCTGAGCCTTCAGGTGAGACGTCCACCATGCGTGCGTAAGATTTCTCTAAAAATGCGCAGTTCGGAGGCGTGTCAGAGATTTGTCCGTTCATCTGTCTGGCTGTCTATCTTATCAATCCCACCGCCATAGGTGAATTGCTAGACGGATGGATGGATAGATACATAGAGAATGCATATACATATGTACATATACATTCTTAAAATACATTTGTGCACAGATTAAAAAAGATCATATGTGAATACGTATGTGACCTTATGTGAAATTGTGTAGTTGTATAAATATCTATATGTATTTGTATATGTATATGAATTTGTATATGTGCAAATGTACATAGAACCACTATCTCTGGATGGACGAGTGCAAATCAGAGACGGGGCCCAGCCGGGCAGGGTTGGGTATGGCTTGATTTTTGGTGTCCAAGCCGACTTCGTGCCAGGCAGATGAGGTGTCCCCGACGCCCTCGATGCCCCCATGCCATTTCTGCCACTCTTTGCCTCTGGTCTTCGGGCGCAAAGCCAACCAAAGAACTCAGCAGCCAGCGCAGTCATCAGATGCGAGCCGAAACCTGGACGCTGCGCTCTTCAGTGAAACCTTCAGGGAGGGCCTCGTGGCAGCAAAGCGTCGCGCTGTCGCGTAGCAACATGTAGCAGCGTAGCAACAGGAAGATGTTGTCCCCGCTTTCTCTAAGCTGCAACACTTACCGTAGTGGCACTCCGCCCTACTTGGAAGCCCTTTTTTGACTTGGCAAGTCGGGTTGTTATAAGGGTTGGTTATGGGGAGTGTCATAAGGTTTCTAGAGGACTCGATGTAGACTTACTAAGTCAAAAGAGCTTCCAAGTAGCGGCCCGAGCTGAGGTTTCGACCCTGCCAGAGGCCAGAAGGCCCAGAAGGCTCTGCCATCCGCCAGCATTCGATGGAGACACCAACTGGGCCGCCAAGGCCCTGGGCGCCTTGGCTGAAAAAAACTCGAACTTCTCCCCAAACCAGCCCCGTTTGTTGAGGCACACTTTTCACACTTCGGTTTCTGCCTGAAGTTAATTAAAGCCCCATTGCGAGTTTGAGGCACGCCGGCCATGCCGGACAGCTGGCGACAGATTCCAGCTTGCTTGGGAGCGTTTCGCCGAGCAGAGACGCATTGAACAGAATACCGAAGCCGCTTGCGCACGCGGGGGCATTGGGGGCATTTGCTTTGCCTGCTTGCCTGCCGTTTCAGCCATGTGCTGGCCCAGGGATTTGCGGTCCTTCCGGTTTTTTCGCCTTCCGAAATTTACAAAAGTCCAAATACCTAAATGAGCCCAACCCCTCCATTCTGTTCAGCAACTCTTGCCGTCTTGCCTTGCTGCCACAACGCCGTGCCCTCGCACCTGCTTCCCCAGCAGCCCACAACGAGCCGGAGAATCGCCTCCCTTGTGGGTCACACTGAGTGCCCGGCGCCGCGTGCGCCATTATGTGTGTCGCTGAAGCAGGGTTCGTCATGTGCGGCGACACGTGGCACGCTGCAAAAGCCTTCCGCATTCTCCAATACCCGTTTACTCTACATATCTTAATTTTTTCGTCCCCTTTCCGCAAACCTCCTGTAAAAACCCCCTTGTAAGGCGGACTGGTCCTTGAAAGTGAGTCCGAAGCATGTGAGCTTCAACGGTGTCAGGGGCCTTCCCACGTTTTTCAATAGGAGCTGCTGAGCGCAACGCTTGCGGCAACTGAGCTTTCTTTAGGGTTTAGGGTTTTAAGCTTGGCATGTCCCTCTCGCATTCATGGCATGCTTTGGTCCGTGCAGCTGTAGCTGGAGGCAGCGTCTGCTGCAATCAGTTCAGCTACGGTGCAAGATGCCTTCCCTGAGGTCCAGGAAGCGCGCATTCTACGTGAGTCTATGAAGGCACGTAAAAATCACGTGAGGCACATTGCAGATGCAAAGCCGCCTAAAGAAGTAGTGCTGAAGACGGCGTGACATGACCTAGAAGTTCGAGCTCAGATGCAGCAAGAAACCCTTGTGCAGAGGCCGAGGCAATGTCGCATGCCAGCACCGTCATAGGGTCACAGGGTCACATGTTTGTCTTCTGCAGTTCCGTCTCCCCATTCCGGAGCCTTCAGTCCCGGCAACCGTGTTGTTTGAGCTGAGCCTTGCATCTTGCAACCTTGCGGCGCTGATCCTGCTCGGCCGAGCTCGCGCCGCCTCCGCATTCGGCTCGCACTGGCACCGGGGGCCCCGCGCGGAGCGGGCGTGAGCTGCGGCGTGAGCTGCGGCGTGAGCTGCGGCCGGCGCTGCGACGTGAGCCCCGTGCGCGGCCGCGCTCGCTGCCGCGCCGCGTGCTCCGCATGCTCCGCAGCGGGGCCCTGTGCCAGCGACCGCAGCCTCTTGTATTCCAGTGCCTCCCGTCTGCTTCGCTCTGCTTCTGGGGTGCTTGGCCCCACGGTGCAAGGGGCTTGCCCCAGTTGCTGGGTTCGGTTCTGTTCGGAGTGGACCGTGCTCGATGCTGTCAAGGCACCTCGGCTGCCAAAGTCAGCGAAGGATGTCGGGGACGCGGGAATATGCCGGAGACCCGGCCGGAGCCAGTGAAAGACGTTGCAGCAGTTGGTGAGGTGGCAAGATGATTGCGAGCGGCCAACAGCGCAGTGAGGAGGCGAAGCTGCAGCCGCCTGGCGTGTGAGGCGTGGTTGTGGTTGGATGTGGTTGGATGTGTTTTTTGGGGCCTCTTTGTGGCTCTCTTGTGTGATATCTTTGACGAGGCCTCTCACGGGTGTTCATCTTTGTGCTTCGGAGTGCAAGTCTCAGGTCCATGCTGATGCCCGTCCAAGCACAGCCTGCCCTTGCTGCCATCCGGTGCCTGGGCTTCTGGGAAACAGGGGGGCGGGGGGAGACTCTTTCGGTATCTTGCAGTGATAGGGGGTTCCTACTCGAAACGCTCCTTCGGTTCCTTTTTGCTTCGAGGTGAGCCACCGGTGATCCACCCATTCGCCACGTTGGTGTGGGTGACAGGTGCAGAATCATGTCTGGAGGCCCGGGCTGGGAGCCGAGGTCGGAGTAGAGGGTCAGGGAGTAGAGGGTCAGGGCGGTTAGGGCCCTAAAGTAGGGCCCTAAAGTAGGACCCCAAGTAGTAGGATTCCCTGACACAATAAGGGCCTCCATTGTGGTACCCCTACTTTCGTAAACCCCCCATGTCGAGAGGTTCTTTTGCCGGTTGCCTCTGAGCCGACCTCCGTGAGCTTTGAAGTGGCTCAGAGGTGGCCAGGACGCTTTGTGGGGAGGAGAAGGGAGAGACCGTGAGGAACATGGCGTAGGTTTCTGACACGGGTCTACTCAGGTCCTCCTTAAAAGCATCCTGAGCTTTGGCGCCAGCTTCGCATAGCCTCGCTGCTGGGTGCTGCTTCGCTGCTGGGTGCTGCGTACCGACCCCACACGTGCACCGTGCCCTGCGGTCGGGACGAAGATGCCGCCATCATCTCGATGAGGTAAGTCTCGATGAAGAACAGCCCTCCGTGCTAGGCTCCCTTGTTTTCTCCGTGAACCTCTTGAACACCTATCTCCTGCCGTGCGGCTTGGTTGGAGAGTTCACACTTTGTAGTGCGCTTCGGCAAAGGATTGATTCAAAAACTCTGAAATTTCTGACGCACCCCCCCCCTTCTTAACGACCCTTTGAAACCTTCCACGCTGTCTCTGTCTTAAGGGTTCTTTTTTAAGGGTTCCGGTCTCCCAGCTTTCCTGACTCCGGGCATCGATGCGGCTCTCGCGGCTCAGCTGAGAGTGGAGTGAGGGCGGCGGAGTTCTCGAGACCTCTCTGAGAGAGTCTCTCTCTGCGAAGAGAGAGAGCCGAGAGGCAACGAAGGCAGGGAGGCACTGACATTCCCCCCCCGTTCTTTATAGCCACGTAAGGCACCTGCAGGACACCTGACCTGGGCCCAAGCGGAGCCTCGCGCGCTTCGCACTCGATGGTCTTGGCAAGTCAGCTGCGAGTCTGAGCACTAACACCAGCACCAAAGAGCCTGAAAGCTCTTGGGCTCAATTGTGGGGAGCCCTTCAGAGATGCCCCAATTCTCGAATTCTGGTACCTCCTTTTTGTTAAAAATGAGGCCCTCAACTTCCGAATGCCCCTAAGCCGACCGGGTGTTCCCCTGTCCCCTTGGCAGAGCCTGGGTCAAAATTTAGGATGCGGGCACCCGCTAAGCGAGAGATCTCCTCTCTGGCTCAGCCAAAAAGCGCTCGACCGATGCCCACTGGTGCAATTCCCGCCGGCGAGCGCGCAGAGCTTGTCGTGGTGCAGCTCCTGCTGGTGCAAGGCAACAGCCTCTGGTGCCGATCTTTGTGGTAGCTCAAGCGGAGGGGTGCTCCAGGTGAACAGCAACCGGAAAACGGTTAGGGAACGGTTCGTGTTCCGCATTGTTCCGCATCTGTAAGCATTGCTCCAACTCCTCGGGTGCTGGATGGCTGAAGAGTGAGCACATGGGAGCAGCGATTTGAGCATGAACCATGTCCGGCTCCCCCTTGATGCACCCTTCACATCCTTCAGCACCTCCAGTTTGAAAGGCTTTGCAGCGCTTTGCCCAGCCCAGAAATCTCCGAAACTTCCACGTCCATCCCGAGCAGAACATAGCAGAACCCTAGTCCGCCTTCTCCCGTCGAGACAGCGTGGAGTTGGCTAGTGCGCGTCGTGCATGGACGGACACTGTCCAGTGCATCTGACATCAGCCACTACTGAGGCTGGAGAAGCTGCGCCGCCGCCGGCCCGCAAAGGCGACGCCTGCTGCCCGGAGACGGCGCCGACGCCTCCAGCGTTGCACATCGCAGGAGCTGACCAGGAGTCGGTGTTCACTGTCCAACCTTGATACAAAATGCAAGCCTGCACAATGTGCTATTGTGCAAGTCGCCCATGGCGATCTATGAAGCAACACTTACTCCGCAGGTTCTGACCACCCTCATGGCACTGCATGGTGCCAGAGCCATTCTGGACTCTTCAACTTCTCAGCGCCCCTTTTCATTGGACCTTTGGATGTTCTGAGTTCGCGCGAAACCCCTCACGTGCGCCGCACTCTATAAGACAGGAAGGCCATGAAGAAGAAGAAGAAGCACCATGGGAAGATCCTTTCCATGAATGCCCACACCGTTGGGATGTTCGCCGCCCGCAGGCTTTCAGCGCATCTCGCAGAAAAAGGAGCTCTTTGTGGTACTTTACTGTAACTTTAGATCCTTACCTTTTTTGGGTTTATTGGGTTTCTCATTAAGGCAGCTACAAGTTTAATTTATAGCTGCCCTCCAGAGTGCAGCCAAGTCAAGTGCTCTCGGTGCAGAGAGCACTTCGAAGTGCAAGTGGACGTCAGGGGAATGAGGGGAGTGAGCTTTTTTCAAACACCCACGAGCCCTTTGAACCTCTCAACTCCACGGAATAGAGACATGTATGTACATATTCACGTCACCTCGAGAGCTACTAAACTTGTCCGTAAAGTCCCGCATGCTCTTGGCCTTCAGAGCTTAGATGCAGTTAGACACGGTGCAGTGACATGTCAGAGCTCACGCCCTCAAGAGTGCTTCGCGCCATCTTTGCGGCTAGGCAGCCAGCACGCACTGAAGCGAATGTAGGAATGAGTGGGTTTAGTGTTTAACGAACGCAAGATCTGGATTGTGAGACTTCCGTGCCACGCGCAAAGAAAGATCGGGCGCCAGCCATGCCGCTTGTGGAGGTGGGTGCCTTTGGGTGCTGCTGTGGAACTTCCTCATGCTCCACAGAAAAGGGATTGGTTCAAGTTCAAGCGATTTCGAGCGTGACGTTGTGCCACACAGCCGACTGTCATTGTCTGCGCTTGTGTTTTATACATACGCGTACATATATATATATATGTATATAAAACTGCGCAGTGCATAGTATGATGGGTGACACATAAATATATACACACATATGTCTTGTCATGGCACAGACTTCGTCATCTTCATGCATGTACATACAGGTGTCTTGTTATTCGCGCACATGGCGAGCATCCTGAGAAGCGCAAAGGTCTTTGCGAAGGAGGACGCCTTGCCGAAGATCCCGGCCGCCGAGTTCTGCCACTTCTTGCAAGAGCACTTCAAGGCGTGGGCCCGAAGCCCTGAATTTAGGGTTTAGGGTTTAGGGTTCTAAAACCCCGAAAGCCCCTAAAGCCCCCCATAAGCCCCCTCAGAGAAGTTGTGCCAAGGTGGAGCCAGGAGTTGTGCAGGTGATGATGACCAGTGTCAAGGACCACCCTTGGCAATCATGGCAAAGGGGCACACCGGTTCCCCATAGCTCGTCTGGGTTGAGGATTTAGGGTTTGGGGTTCAGGGTTTAGGGGTTTAGGCGTTTAGGGGTTTAGGGTTTGGGGTTTAGGTTTAGGGTTTAGGGTTTAGGGTTGAGGATTTAGGGTTTGGGGTTTAGGGTTTTTCTTCCTTTCCTCGCTATGTAGGTTTCTCTGTTTCTCTGCTGCGAGTGCACATTCGATACACATGAGTGAGAAGAAGAACCACAAGACTAGCAACAAGAAGAGCACTAAGAAAGAGGAAGAAGAATCAGAAGAATAAGAAGAACAGTAAGAATCGGAAATGAGAGACGAAGAACAAGAAGCATCCACGAGCAACAGGGAATCTCCTGGTCCCTCTCTCGGGAAACCCTCAACCCTCAACCCTCAACCCTCAACCCTCAACCCTAAACCCAAAACCCTAAACCCTAAACCCGAAACCCTAAACCCTCAACCCAGGACTTGGCCCCAGAGCCGGTCTACATCTCCGTCCGCGCCAAGGGAACGCCGCCGCGCCGCGAGAAGGTCGACGAGCTCCTGGCAGGAGCTTCCTGGGTTTAGGGTTTAGGGTTTAGGGTTTAGGGTTTAGGGTTGCTGTTGAAGGGGTGAGAGGGCTCTCTCTCTCTCTCTTTCTTTTTTGGGGGGGGAGTCTGTCGTGGGGTTTTCTTAGGGTTTCCTTGGGTTTTGGGGATCTTGGGTTTTTGTTTGGGTTGCGCATGAGCTTCAAACGTGTCGCTGCCAATCTCATCTTTAGCAAGGTCGCCTTGCCGGCTTCGGCGCAGCACATCCCCGTCCAAACCTTAAAGTTTCCCCAACGCCCAAAGCCCTAAACCCTAAAACCTTAAAGCCCTCAACTCTGCACTCTAAACCCTAAAACCCTAAAACCCTAAACCCTAAAACCCTAAACCCAAAAAACCCTAAACCCTAAAACCCTAAACCCCAGTCCGCGAATGCAAAAAGGCATCGGTCGGTGGCTGGCCGGACGCGGCCTGCAAACGGGCAAGGTGCGCATTGAGCTCTTCGAGCCTTCGCAGCAAGCTGTCCACGCCTGGCGGCAGTCGAAGTTGTGACATGTTTTTTTGGTTAGGACAGGCTCAGTGAGCCAGCGCAGGCCCTTCTTGAGGGACGTTCAGACTCCGGCAGACAGCGCAGCAGTGTTCGGCACCCTCCGTTGTTGAGTGTTGTGGCCATGTTGTGGCTTGAGGGGCCTGCGCTTAGGAAGCCCGGATTTTGAGAGGCCACTCGCTTGCACCTTTGGAAAAAAGGTGCCCCCGCTGTCATCCAGGGATGTCGATTCCTCAAGGTCTGAGGCGCCTAAATCGGCGTCTCTCAGAAGCCTTTGTCGCCGAGGCAAAGCTCGGCATAGCAGACTTTTGATTCTCGTGGTTTTGCACCTACTGCTGCCGTTTACCATGGCTTGCACGAAATGTTCACAACTGTGCTTCGAAACCGAGCGGCTACAAGTGGGAGTGGCCTAAACCCCAACCCTTAAGCCCGAAGCCCTAAACCCTAAAGCCTAAACCCTAAACCCTACACCCTAAACCCTAAACCCTAAGCCCTGAGCCCTAAGCCCTAAACCCTAAACCCTGACACCCTAAAACCCTAAACCCTGAACCCTAAACACTAAACCCTAAACCCAAAAACATACCCAAGAAAAACCAAAAAACATACCCAACAACACCTGGCTCCCTTCAGCCCGAACTTTGAACCGGGCTTTAGCTATGTGAGCCGACTGCAGTCTAGTGAGCCAATGTAGCAAGAAGCGGCTCATCACCGGTGTCATGTGCCACACTTAGCGCCTTCCTGGGCTCCTTGTCAGCTGTCAGTAGAAGATGCATTGAGAGGCCATGGAACAGCAGAAAGCACACGAAGAAGTTTCCCAGCCGGCTTACACAGAGTTCGGTTGCTACTTATTGCGAACTTAGTTAGATCTAGGAAGTCAATTTTGGACCTTGGACCTTTCTTTGAGGGTCCATTCCCTGCGGCGAAAGCCCCGTGTAACATCGTTTTAGAAACACCTTGCGGTCGTTCATCTTCCTCAGCCCAACCCAGAGACCCCTCCCCTAAGCAGTATGCCCTACAGGGTTTAGGGTTTAGGGTTTAGGGTTTAGGGTTTAGGGTTTAGGGTTTAGGGATCATAGCAGGATCCCTGTTGCAACTTAGGGGTTTATCGGGGCGCAGGAAAGGCGCCCCCACCACTTTTAGGGGCTGCGTGAGACCACGCCTTCGGGTGCCCTCCCGCGCGGAGCCCCAGAGGTTTGAAGAGCCAGAACCCTAAACCCTAAACCCTGAACCCTGAACCCTAAAGCCTAAACCCTAAACCCTAAACCCAGAGATGGCGTGCTCAGTGGTTTGTGGGGGTTTAGGTTGGGATGTTCCCCCTTATACTCACATTCCTTAGTGGGGATATATAGTAGGGAGTCTTAGCATCCCTATGAAGGAGTGTTAGTATAAGGGGGAACATTCCCAAGGTTTAGGGTTTAGGGCTTCCCCAACGTTAGGGGTGTCCCCTGTTCTGGTCTTTTTGTTTGTTTTGTTTTTGTCTTTTTTTGCGTAGCGGGGGGGGGGGGGGGGGGGGGAGGCAAGAAACGGGCGCCATGCGGTCATTCTTGAAGGTATCATGTGGGCACACGCCTTTGTAGGAGACGCCCCACATCCGGCGAGAAGCCAAAAAAAAAGCTTAAGTCGACCTTCTACGAAAGCCCAAGCGCGAAACCCTGAATCCTAAGGTTGGAAACCCTGAATCCTAAGGTTGGAAACCCTGAATCCTAAGGTTGGAAACCCTGAATCCTAAGGTTGGAAACCCTGAACCTTTCAACCCTAACTCAGCACCGGCACCTGCGCGAAGTTTCTCTCGAGGTGTGAATGGAGGACTCCGAGCAGAGGCATGGGAAACGCGAGGTGCAAGGGGCATGGCTTCTGGTTCAGGGAAGCATCGCTTTGCCCCCGCCCTTGAAACCCTCAAAAGCCTGTGCAGAACCCTGTGCACAACCCTACAAACCCTACAAACCCTATAGTAAAGCCCTATACAGCGGTCCCAACACCCTCCACAAACCGCAATACACACCGCAAGTCCGCTGCACGGAAGAGTCCTTCGACCCCTTTGTGGAGCAAGTGCCTCGCGTCCCGGAGTCTTTCAAAGTTCGCGGCCACAGAAGTTACAGATTCACAGCTATATGCCATTCATTTGACCCACGTGGCCAGCTCCCAAACACTTGTGTGCCAGCATTTGGTTCCCTAGAGAGTTGATCAAATGGAAGGCTGCCCCCTGCCCGAAACTACGAAGAGCGCGCTTTCAATCAAGCCCCAAACGGGTCACCAAACCCCTACAAACCTTATAAACCCTGCACACCCCGTCAACCCTGTAAACCCTGCAAATTCTGCAAACTCCATAAATCCTGGAGACTGCTTGAGCCCTTAGAAGCCCCATAAGCAGAGCATAGCAGAGCCCTACAAGCCATAAACCCTCTAAGCCTTCTCAGCTCTCTAAACCCTGCAAGCCCTAAACGCCTGAAAAGCCCCCTATAAAACCATGTAAGCCCTACTGTACAGACCCTAAACGCCCTAGTGTCTAAAACCCTTTTTCGCCCAAACCCTATAAACCCTATAAACCCTGCAAAACGTAACAAACCCTATGAACACTATATAAACCCTGTGATAAAACCTCAAGAGACCCTACAAAACCTCTGTAAAACCCTCCTGTCTAGAGCTCAGGGGTTAGGGCCCGAGGGTATGGAGCCTAAGGTTCATGGGTTGAGTGGGGTTTAGGGTTTAGGGTTTAGGGTTTAGGGTTTAGGGTTGAACTGTGTATGTTCTTGCTGTTATGGGATTCTTTGGGCGGGTCCCAAGCTCGATATTTGCTTGACTAGAAGAAGCTGGAACGTGAGATTTTTGAACCCTAAGCCCTAAGCTCGAAACCCCAAACCCCAAACCCTGAACCCTAAACCTTAAACCGTGAACCCTAAACCCTAAACCCTAAACCCTAAACCCTACACCCTAAGCCCTAAACCCTAAACCCTAAACAGGCCACCGCTTTCGTGACCTCGAGCTGCCAGCTTTTCACGCAGGGGGGCCCAAAATCTTGGCTCCCCTGACGCAGGGTTTAGGGTTTAGGGTTTAAGTTTGCAGTGTAGTATGTCATCAAATCTTGTGGTAACAAGATGGTTACGACGGCAGAAGTTATCTTAACTTTTGCCTGTCAGCAGCTGGACAACGAAACCCTAAACCCTAAACCCTAGACGCTCAGCCCTAAACCCGAAACACCAAACCCTTTGTTTTCAACGCGCAGTCAGCTTCTTACAGTCGCAGGTTGCAAGTCGAGTTTCGAGCTTTGTTGATGTTGGCGATCGACCTGAGATGGTTTGTCCAGCCCCCTTGATGTGGGGGTTACCGAAATTGGGGGCACCTTATTGTGGCCCTTATTTGAAGGGAACCCCCTGCTATTTGGGGGGGGGGCCCCTTACTTTCGCAAACCCCCGTGTCTATGTGAGCGTTTATTCCGGCAAAGGAATCCTCTCCCGATCCTCCCAGATATCTTACGTCCTTCCATGCGTTGCGGTGTGTGTGGATGCTAGGGATCCTCTCTGCTAGCGCTCGGGACCAGCCCCCAGGGCCTCAGAGCCTTCAACACAAGGGCTCCTGGAATAAGAATGGCCGACCCTTCAACCCTACTTGGAGGCTCATGGTACATATTAGCCAATTATATCGGTACTTATATCTGTACTTATGACCATCTTAGGGCACTTAAGGGGCTTCTAAGTGGGCTATAAAGAGAGTTACGACTGGATACTAAGTACCATGAACTTCCAAGTAAACCCTAAACCCTAAACCCTAAACCCTAAACCCTAAACCCTAAACCCTAAACCCTACACCCCCAAACCCCAAACCCTGCAAGACTCTGCTCCCAGGCGGAACCCGCAGCTTTGGAAGGCAAGGCTTGTCTGCTTTGGGGCCTTTATCTGGCATGGGGGGCTCAGAGCCGAACACCAAGGGGGGGGGTTTTCAACTGTAGGATCTTTTTTTGAATCATTTTGTTTTTTGGCAGGGGGGGTTTCAAATGTTTGTTTTTGTTTATGTTTTTTTTTTTTTTTTTGGGGGGGGGGGGGGGGGGCGTTGTGGCTTGGACGACCCGCAGAAATATTACCCAAAGGCGCCAAGAGCCCAAAAGCCCCATGCGCCGTCTCAACACCCCCAAAAAGCATCACAAAGCCCAAAGGGGTTATATGCTGCGAAAGGGCGCTTCGCATCTTGTCACAAGGCACATTTTTTTGTGCATCTTGTTGTGCTGTTTTTCAGGTGCTTTTGGCCTCTGGACTTCAGATGGCGGCTGCCAGCTTGCCAGATACCTTCGTGCCCAGCTCTCTCTGGCTGGTTTTTACTAGGGAATGAGGGAATGAGGTACCCGATATACTCCTTCAAAGGGTATGCACCAAGAACCAGGGGTTCTGTTTTGCTTTGGCGCTCTTGGTGTGTTTTGAGTGAGATGTAGGCCGAGTGTTTCCTGTTTTCTTCAATTAGACCCCCAAAATTGTGACCCAAAAAGCGTCGCCCCCAAACTTTGTAACGGTATCGTAGGAGATTCTCGAGAGCGTTGTCGTCTTCTGAGCTCCTGAAGTCCGTGCGCTGTCCAAAAATCACACTCGCAACTCCGAGAAGTCTCGAAGCCTCCTGTCTTACCAGGGCAATGGGGCTCTCGGATAGTGCTCTAACCCGAAACCCTAGACCCAGGCAACCTTTGCCTGCTTGAAGGATGGCTCTATGACCACCGCGCCTTACAACCCAAAGGCAAAACCCTTTCCATGTTCAGAAAACTCGGGGCCAAGAGGGCCTATCACGAAACCCTAAGCCCTAAACCCTAAACCCTGAACATTTAGCCGCAGACCCTAAACCCCTGAGCCCTAAGCCCTAAACCTTCTGCGCCTGTGGGTGTTGAGGTGCTGTCGCTGCTGCGCGCGCGGATCTGGGGCGCTGCTACCCAGCCGGGTTTTTCGGGTGGACCGAAAAGGAAGGGGCTGAGAGATCCGACCTCCATTGAGTTCACCTTAAGGGATGGAAAGAGGGGGGCCATCTTCATCAGAATAGGGTACTTCGGGTAGATTGTATTCCATGGTCCTTTTCTGGATATGATGCTGAGATGCCACTTGGGGGCTCGCGGAGAGTCGGGCTTTCGCGATGAGTTTATGGCAAGACCAGCCCTAAACCCCTAAACCCTAAATCGCTTCTGAAGCCCGGCCTGAGGCAACCACATGTCCGAGTACATGTCGTACGCGGCGATCGGAATCAACTCCGTCCGGAGCTTGGGCTTTTGTGGAAGAAAGCACATGGAGTCTTTCACAAGCAAGATGAAGGAAAATGCAGCAGGAGTACAAGTACAAGTACACACATATGCACACACATACCTATGTGTAATATACGTACATATATATATGCTACCCCCCCCCCCATGGACCTACCAATTTCCTTTGTTTTGCTGGTGTGTGTTTGGCAGGTGTCCGAATTTTGTTGGTGTGTGTGTGTGGCATGTGTCTGAGCCAGATGCCCCGGGCAGAGAGATGACTTGGGAATTTAAGGAATTTAAAGAATTTAAAGAGGCCTAAATTCTTTAAATTCCTTAAATTCCTAAATTAGCCCTAATTAAGGAATTTAAGGAATTTAAGGAATTTAAGGAATTTAAAAAATTTCAATTTACGGCCCAGAACCAATTTAATTTAATTTAGGAATTTAAGGAATTTAAAGAATTTAAAGATGCCTAAATTCTTTAAATTCCTTAATTCCTAAATTAGCCCTAATTTAGGAATTTAAGGAATTTAAGGAATTTAAGGAATTCAAGGAATTAAAAAAATTTTTAAATTAGGGCCCAGAACCAATTTAATTTAATTTAGGAATTTAAGGAATTTAAAGAATTCAAAGAGGCCTAAATTCTTTAAATTCCTTAAACTCCTAAATTCAATTAAATTGGTTCTGGGCCGTAAATTGGAATTTTTTAAATTCCTTAAATTCCTTAAATTCCTTAAATTCCTTAAATTCTTATATTAGGGCTAATTTAGGAATTTAAGGAATTTAAAGAATTTAGGCCTCTTGAAATTCTTTAAATTCCTTAAATTCCAAAATTAATCCCTAATTTAGGAATTTAAGGAATTTATAAAATTTAAAATTAGGGCCCAGAACCAATTTAATTTAATTTAGGAAATTAAGGAATTTAAAGAATTTAAAGAATTTAAAAAGATTAAAGAGGCCTAAATTCTTTACATTCCTTAAATTCCTAAATTAGCCCTAATTTAGGAATTTAAGGAATTTAAAGAATTTAAAGAGGCCGAAATTCTTTAAATTCCTTAAATTCCTATATTAAATTAAACTGGTTCTGGGCCGTAATTTAAAATTTTATAAACTCCTTAAATTCCTTAAATTCCTTAAATTAGGGCGAATTTAGGAATTTAAGGAATTTAAAGAATTTAAAGAGGCCTAAATTCTTTAAATTCCTTAAATTCCTAAATTAGCCCTAATTTAGGAATTGAAGGAATTTAAGCTTTAAAAAATTTCAATTTACGGCCCAGAACCAATTTAATTTAATTTAGGAATTTAAGGAATTTAAAGAATTTAAAGAGGCCTAAATTCTTTTAATTCCTTAGATTCCTAAATTAGCCCTAATTTAGGAAGTTAAGGAATTTAAGGAATTCAAGGAATTTAAAAAATTTTAAATTAGGGCCCAGAACCAATTCAATTTAATTTAGGAATTTAAGGAATTTAAAGAATTTAAAGAGGCCTAAATTTTTAAATTCCTTAAATTCCAAAATTAATCCCTAATTTAGGAATTTAAGGAATTTTAGGAATTTAAGGAATGTATAAAATTTAAAATTAGGGCCCAGAACCAATTTAATTCAATTTAGGAATTTAAGGAATTTAAAAGCAGAAAGTACGCGCATGACGACTCTGCAGGATTCCATTTTTTTTGTGGATCGATGAAGTCTCCGAAACCTACATGGCGGCTCAGTGAGATCGATTGGCCTTGGGTACCAAAAGGTGGCACATGCAGATCACATGGTGTGCGACATTATATATGACTATGGCTCTAGATCAAGAAAATTTATATAAAACATGGGTAGGGGTTCAAGAACGTGGGTAAAACCAATGTTTTGGAGAGGCCACCTTCAAGAAACATTGGTAAAACCAATGTTTTGGGGAGGCCACCTTCAAAAAACATCGGCAAAACCAATGTTTTTGGAGCCCCTGCTCAGGAAACATCGCAAAAACCAATAAAAACCATAAAAACCATGATTTTTCAAACTACTCGGAGACCCCAAGCCTATAGTTTGGAAAATCATGGTTTTTATGGTTTTTATTGGTTTTTGCGATGTTTCGTGAGCATGGGCTCAAAAAACATCGGTAAAACCAATGTTTTTTGACGGTAGGGGTTCAAAAACATCGGTAAAACCAATGTTTTGGAGAGGCCACCTTCAAAAAACATCGGTAAAACCAATGTTTTTGGAGCCCCTGCTCAGGAAACATCGCAAAAACCAATAAAAACCATAAAAACCATGATTTTTCAAACTACTCGGAGACCCAAGCCTATAGTTTGGAAAATCATGGTTTTTATGGTTTTTATTGGTTTTTGCGATGTTTCGTGAGCATGGGCTCCAAAAACATCGGTAAAACCAATGTTTTTTGAAGGTAGGGGTTCAAAAACATTGGTAAAACCAATGTTTTGGAGAGGCCACCTTCAAAAAACATCGGCAAAACCAATGTTTTTGGAGTCCCTGCTCAGGAAACATCGCAAAAACCAATAAAAACCATAAAAACCATGATTTTTCAAACTACTCGGAGACCCAAGCCTATAGTTTGGAAAATCATGGTTTTTATGGTTTTTATTGGTTTTTGCGATGTTTCGTGAGCATGGGCTCAAAAAACATCGGTAAAACCAATGTTTTTTGAAGGTAGGGGTTCAAAAACATGGGTAAAACCAATGTTTTGGAGAAGCTTGGGTCTCCGAGTAGTTTGGAAAATCATGGTTTTTATGGTTTTTATTGGTTTTTGCGATGTTTCGTGAGCATGGGCTCCAAAAACATCGGTAAAACCAATGTTTTTTGAAGGTAGGGGTTCAAAAACATTGGTAAAACCAATGTTTTGGAGAAGCCGCCCTTTTTTGAAACATCGGTCAAGCCGAGGTTTCAAAAAAAAGGTAGGTCCATGGGGGGGGGGGGTACCATATATATATATATATATTTATATTTATATATAGATATAGATATAGATAAATATAAAAAATATATATATATATATATTTTTTTTTACTTATATATATATATATCTATACACATGTGCTAGGAGACTTGGGCGTCCGCGGTGGGGGGGGGGGAGGCTCCTTGGGCCCGGCTCCCCCTCCCCCCCCCCAAATCGCATATTAGGGCTCTTAGGGGGCTTTTAGGGCTTTTTGGGGCTCTTCCGCCACCACCAAATCAAAAACACCACTGGTCGTCACCATAGGGGCCGTCATCGTGGTCCTTCCACTAGCGCCCTCATCCTCCGGGTTCGCCCGCTCCTCCTCCTCCTCCTCCTCATGCCCGTCGCCCGGAACCGGACCTGTTGCCGCAGCATGCCCTGGAGCATCATCCCCTTGGGATCAGCATTGATTGCGTGGAAAAGTTCTTGATTTTTTCGTCTTTCCGATGAGGGTTCATGTCTTTTTGGGAGTCCGGATACATGGTTTTCGCATCTCATCTCGTCAAATCGGCATGGGAGAGCCTTTGAGCGCAGCTGCTTCTGCAAGCTCCGGTCTTGACACAGGACGGGAGCAGATCATGAAGCACCCTAAGGTTGTCTTGTGATCCTTCAAAAAGGAACCCCCTATGTCCGGAAGCCCCCATAGAAGAGCTCCTGTCTAAACCGCCCTACCGAGGTAGCCGTGATCTTTGGGGGACCCTACGGTCGTTTCAGTGCGGTGGCCCAGACGCCTCATGGGGGGGGGGGTCGGTCGCTTCCGTGCGCTCCGGGGGTTTCTTGAGGGTTTCTCTTGGGTTTCTTGAGGCTTTCTCTTGGGTTTAGGCGCTTCTTTAGGGTTTTGGGTTTCTTGGGTTTCTTGGGTTTCTTGGGTTTCTTGGGTTTCTTGGGTTTCTTGGGTTCAGGGTTTGGGGTTTAGGGTTTAGGGTTTAGGGCCAGGGTTTAGGGTCATGAGTTGGGTGCTGAGTTTGGATGGTTTCGGTTGTAGAAGGTACAAGGAACGTCATGGTGACGTCGCCTCATGAGGACGCACCAGTCGTTTTCCACCAGTGCCACGGGAAGAGTATTGCAAGGGCGCCCTGAGCCTTAGAACCCTAGAACCCTAAACTCTAAAACCCCCAAACCCTAAACCCCAAACCCCACCTAAACCCTAAACCCTAAACCAATTGCAGATGACAGGGCTACGGAGAGCAGCTTCCCAGGTCAACGCCGGCTGTGACATCGTAGCACGGTTAGCACGGTTCGTCTAAACAGAAGCGTTTGTCTTCGTCACAGCCGCAGGACACTCGCATAGAATTGCACCCGTTGCGCAACAGAAGGAAGCATATGGGTAGTTCTGGAATTTAGGTTTCTTCTTGTGGGTCCCCTATAAAGTTCGGCACCCTTAAAGAAAGAGCCCCCAAGAAGGAACCCTAATGTAGAGAATTACCTATATGTATTTCCAGCAACTCACCCCTCGGCCGCGGCAGACGGGGGGATAAATCTACACCTATTCTTGGGGGGTGCTTTTTAGAGGGGGTCTTCTTTACGTTTGGGAGATGTAAGGGTGTGCGCCCCCTATTTCAGAAAGGCCTTCAGCTCTAGACCCTCAATCCTCAACCCTCAACCCTCAACCCTCAACCCTCAACCCTCAACCCTCAACCCTCAACCCTCAACCCTCAACAAGCCTTAATCCTGAACCCTCAACCCTGAACCCTAAACCCTAAACCCTACTTTAGGACATATTCCAGAACAAATTGTTGGCTCCCGAGGCGACTGCGTCGATCGCCGCCTCGCTGCGGCGATCTTCGCACTGGGGACCTTTGCGCCGGGATGGCCGGAGACGAAGGGTTTCTGTCAGTTTTGGGGAGTTGGGGGGTTTAGGGTTTAGGGCTTGGGGCTTAGGGTTTTAGGAGCTAGGGTTGCGGGTTGACGGTTTCGGGTCCGGGGTGAGGTGGTTGTACCCTTTTTTCAGGGGGGCGCCAATGCTCTGGAGTAGCTACATGGGTGGAAGCTGCCCACAATCAAGCTTTTCTCTTGCATCTCAAAGTGCCATCTCTTCAATGCCACAGTACCTTACGAGGGCCCTGATGGTCTTCGGCAGCAATGCCAGGGCGGGGCCCTCAGGTCTCGGTCGGCTTTGCACTTCTCTCGGCTCCCTGACATCTACAGGGCCAAGGGTCAAAACCCTGAACCCTTGCCCCAAAGCTCTGCCTCCTAAACCTTGAACCCTCGCAATCCCCAAGCACTGAGCCGCCCCAAGCCCTAAACCCTAAACCCTAAACCCTAAACCCTTTTCCCTAAACCCTAAACCCTAAACCCTAAACCCTAAACCGTAAGCCCTAAGCCTTCATCCCAAACCCAGTCTAGGAACCCCACCATGGCAGCCCCTACGGCAGCCCAACGAAAGATGCTTGGAGCCACTGAGGCCGCAGAGCTCCCCCTGGTAAACCAATTGGAGAGCAGCAGCAATGACGATTTTTTTGTGTCCTTTTAAGAATACTGATGTGAAGCATGGTGCCCAAGAATGTTCAGTACTCATAAAACCTCAGAGTACAATCTCATGGTAAGCATCCCCCTCATAGCAGTCTTGATAGCCGTAGGAGCCATAGCAGTCATGCTAGTCATACGTAGTAACAGGAATGGACGTAGTCGTCATCGTCATCATCCTGACGATCGACATATCTAGGGAACCCGAGTAGTCCCTGTACTTGTTCTCTCTTCCCAGGGTCTTCTGATCAGCACCGTGGTGAAGGTGGTTGGATCCTATGGACTGACCAGCGGGCACCTGAGTTTGGCCCTGGGCCCTCTTAAGGCCCCCCAAACCTCCGGTACCGGGTGGAGGGATTAGGGTTTATGGTTTAGGGTTTAGGGTTTAGGGTTTCGGGTCACACACAATGTCACGCAGCAACGACTGCAGATCCCAGATCCAAGACCCTAAGCGCCTGAACGCTGCGTTTTTGGCGAGGTAACGTCATGCTGGCCTTGATCAATGACGTGACCGTAGCAGAGGCACGGATACGCACCGCATGATGTCGGTGCCGGCTGAGTGCTCTCTCTCCTTTTGTTGGGGGTTTGGAGTAACTTTAGATGGGGTTACCATAGCAAGGCAAACCACATGGTGTACCACAAATCACATGACGTAAGCTGAACCTAAGAGATGAGGGATGCCAACCAAAGTTTACCTAAGCGACAAGGCGCGCCCTTCCCTTTCGCCAGGATCGAGAAGAGGCGGTCGGAGCCTATTTCGCCGCCAACAACTTCATGAGCTTGACGTGGCCCGGACAAGCTGGGACGGCCTCCCCTTTGGCTCCCCCACTCCATCCACTCCCTCAAGATTCTTCCGCAAATGAGGATGGAATAGGGCAGTAAGGAAACATAAGGAGAACCCTCCTTTTATCAGCAGTCCTTAAGAGGGATTATATTAGGGTGTGCTATAATCCCTATTAAGGACTGCTAGTATTATACAAACACTCCACGTTGTAGAGTTCATCTCCAAGAGCCTTTGGAACTCGACAGGAAGGCCTTCGTTCTCTCAGAAGTTTGCATCAGGGCAATCGATCAAGAACACTCGGGGCCTAAACCCTGAAACCCTAAGCCCCTAAACCCTAAACCCTAAACCCTAAACCCTAAACCCTAAACCCTAAACCCTAAACACTAAACCCGAAACCCGAAACCCTAAGCCCCCAAACCCTAAACCCTAACCAGGCATCCCAGGTTGCGAATGCGTCCCCAGCAGTTCCTCTGAAATGCTGAGGATGACCGGAATTCCTGTGATGCTGGTACTGGTGCTGCAGGTGGGCACAGATAGAAAAATCAAACTAAATCTCGGTTTCGCAGCTTCGCCGCTTCGCGAAAGGGATTTGGGTGAAGGTCAAGACAACGGACCTAGGTAGTCCCTTGGGAAATTTTTTATTTCCCCCTGTTGGGTTTAAGCGGATCCGGTTCAGAAATATCTCTCAGAGGGCTTTCAGATCCATCCTAGCGACATCTCACGACACCTGTCGTGTACTGACGGGGGCGCGGAACAGCGGAGGCCATCATTGCTCCGTTGCCGACAATGTACTGTAGAATCGCAGTGGCCTCGAGAAGGATAATGTGTGTTATGTAGCATTCAATTTGCATAGAAACCTAAATATGAAGCCAGAAAAAAAGCAGGCGCGAACTTGGGAAACCCAAAATTTGGGTCATCAGAGGGAGTCTCGAAACCCCGCAAGGGTTCCCGGTTCCCGGTCCTCGTCCGTATTGTTTGTCAAAAAATGAGAAATCATCATGATCATTGCAATTGCCCCCGTGAGAAGTTTTGTGTGTCAAACCTGGTTTACACTAAGCTTTGCCCTAAACCCTGCCCCCTAAACCGCTTCAGGGAAATCCCAGTTCTCCAAGTGCCGGAGGTGATTCCGAACAACCCTAGCTTCTTCCTCATCCTCCAGGCATGACGTGTTTTCTGTCGTGACGGTATGTAGGATTTTAGGGTTTAGGGTTAGGGTTGTTAGAGCGATTTATGGGGCCACATGGCGCTACGTTGCTGGGAGTGATGTTGGCTCATTCCGCGAAACGAGACGCCCCAACCTCTTAAGCAGCCCCACACACACATATGGGAACGAGCAACAAACAGGGCGAACCCCGTGAGGGGCTTTATAAGTGGGTTATAAGTACAGTTATAATGGTTTAATCAGTAGTATGAACCTCCAAGTAGGGTATCAAAGAGGGGAGGCCCTCTTAACCGTGGAGACAAAACGCCTGGTCACAAAAAGAGTGCCCAGGACCGCATCGCCACATATCACCACTACATCCCTGATGTTCTCTGTGCCAAGCGTGGCAAGGAGATTAAGCCCCGGATATCTTCAGGTACTTGTCGACTGTCGTTTGGCGATACCAACTGCAGAGGAAGACATCTGCTGCCATTTGCTGGCCTTTCGCCGCATGTGAAGTCTTCTCGTGCTAGCACAACACTTGGTTAGTAAAGGCCCCGGAGAAGGTTGCCAAGACGGGTTTCTACAAGTAGGGATCCCCTGGAAGGTCTCCAGCAAGTCCCTTGTTGGTTGCGGGCATCCCCTCTCGCTCAGATCTGCGTTTCTGACGCCTAAAACAGCCGAAACACCCTAAACGGCCGAAACACCCTCAACTAAACCCTAAACCCTCAACAGCCTCAGCACCCTCAACGCGAAACCGCGAAGCCTGGAGACAGGCCGTGCTTAGTGGTCTTTGCGTCCTGCTGCTCTTCTGGGTCCGGCCGAAACCTCGGTGAAGCCGCCGAAATCTAAGCAAGGCTTATACACACAGGGGTCGGAATAATTACGAATCGCAGTCCCTTAGATTCCTAGATGTTTATTCTAGAATATGCCCCCCCAAAACCCTATTCTAATGATTAAGGCTCTTATCCTTAAGCCCTAAACCCTAAACCCTGTTCTATTTTGTTAAGGCCCCGATATAGCAGAGACCGGAGGCAGATGCCAAGGCGCAGGCATGCAGCGCAGGCTCACGGACACACCGCAGAGCTGCAGCCGGAGGAAGAACAAGGGCAAAAAGGCAGAACTCCGGAGCTGAGCTTGGGGTTTAGGGTTTAGGGTTTAGGGTTTAGGGGTTTAAGGTTTGGGGTTTAGGGTTAAGGGCGGGCGATACGCCGGGTAGGACATGATCGGCTACCAGTGCTGCATTTCGCATCCACGAGTTCCAGAGGTTTTCAGGCTTTGCCTGAAGAAGGCTTGGGGCTTAGGGCTTAGGGCTTAGGGCTTAGGGCTTAGGGCTTAGGGCTTAGGGTTTAGGGTTTATTGAGGATGTGAGAGGATTCCAGGTGATTTGCAACAAACTGCCAGCATCAACTTCTCGCAGCCTTCTTCGCCCCCTGCGATATTCGGGCGGGCCCGACCATGCATCACCCCAAACGCAGAGCCCCGAATCCTAACCTAAACCCTAAACCCTAAACCCTACACCCTAAACCCAAAACCCTAGACCCTAAACCCTAAACCCTAAACCCTAGACCCTAGACCCTAAACCCTAAACCCTAAATCCTAAACCCTAAACCCTAAACCCTAAACCCTAAACCCTAAACCCTAAACCCTAAACCCGAACCCCTAACCCCTAAACCCCAAACCCTAAACCCTAAACCTAAACCCCACCCCCGAACCTGGAAGCTGAGAACCCAAGGCTTGGTCAGAACGATGGGGAGCAGAAGGAGGCAGCTTTTTGAGGGGGTTTAGGGTTTAGGGTTTAGGGTTTAGGGTTTGGTGGGGGGATTTTTGGGTTTCCGGGTTTCTGGCTTAGAGGGGCTTTAAGGGGCTTTAAGGCGGGGGCTTAGGGCTAGGGGGCCTTGCAGGGCTTGTAGGGTGGCTTCCTTGGAAGCTCTTTTGACTCTGTAAGTCTAATTAATACCCCTTAAAAGCCCTATTAGAATCCTTCGAGGTCCCCCCTTACCATGTTGCCCATGGGTGGGTTTAGGGTTTAGGGTTTAGGGTTTAGGGTTTAGGGTTTAGGGTTTAGGGTTTAGGGTTTAGGGTTTAGGGTTTAGGGTTTTAGGGGCGGGGGGCATGCCTGGGAGCTTCCCTCGCTCTCTGGGCCAGATGTTGGGTGAGAGCCGAGCTCGGCGTGGGTCCCATCTCTCAACACATCGACCCTTCTAGGAGGTCCAATGCCCCTAAACCCCTAAACCTCTAAACCCCTAAAACCCTAAACCCCTAAACCCTATAAACCCTATAAACCCTATAAACCCCATAAACCCTATAAACCCTATAAACCCTATAAACCCCCAAACCCTAAACCCTGTAAACCCTCAACCCTAGAATTCCTTGGCCCCCGAAGCCGCCAGTCGGCCAGGACAGCCAGCGGGAAAGCGAGGAGAGCAGGCGCTGCAAGCCCCCTGAAGAGTCTTTGCCTCCACCTAAGCCCTGGAAGCCTTAAGCCGCCCGGTAACCCCAAACCCTAAACCCTAAACCCTAAACCCTAAACCCTAAACCCTAAACCCTAAACCCTAAACCCTAAACCCTAAATCCTAAACCCTAAACCCTAAACCCTAAACCCTAAACCCTAAACCCTAAACCCTCAACCCTAAACCCTAATCCCTAAGCCCCTGAAGGCCCTTAGGGTGGAAGAAGTTAGGGCTTTCATTTGTCACTGGTGGTGCATGCAAGCCTCGAGGTGCTGTTACAAGGGTTTGAGGACGAGAAAGCTTACTCACCCCAAAGCCCCAAAGGCTTCAAGGTTGAAAAGCTTAGGCTTCTGAGTTTTGGGGTTCTGAAGTTTCAGAATCAGAAGCCCAGAAGAGCACCCCCCCCCAGGCCCAACCAAACAACGGGGCTCGGGGGGCCCTTTTTATCTTCAGTGTTTACCTTTTTTTTCTCCAGGGAAGTGTATACAAAGGGATGTGGAAGGGTTTTTGACGGCTTAGAGAAAGAGAAGTAGGTATCACCCAAGCCCTGAAGAATTCTCCCCGCGCAGGCAAGAGACCACCTCCGACAACGACTTCACCGCCGACGACAACGACTTAACCGACACGGAGAGACGGGAGATTCAGGGCCCACTTGGAACCTGAAGTCGGGATTGTTGCTCAGGTTTTAGGGCTTTTGTTGGGTTTTTTTTGGGGTTTTAGGGTTTGTTGGGGTTTGGGGATATAGAGCTCTCTAGGAGATGCTCTGACGCCCCTGTGAGTCTGTAGACTCGCCCCGTTCGCCTTAACCCCCCCCCCCCGGCTGCTTGGAGATGGTACTTATTCACAAATGATAGCTGTACTTATAGCTGTACTTGAAAGCATATTATGGGTTAATAAGTACCATGAACCTCCAAGTAGTCTCAGTATCTGCCACCCGCGCTGGTACTTGTCCACCGCCCTGCACCCCCAGGTTATACACAAACGCAAAACTTGGCAAAGTCCACTCGGGGTTCAGTGAGGCTCTATTTATCACTCATGAATTTTGTTTGGCTCGAACAGCTTCCTGTCTGAACTCAGCAACTTGTCTAGACCCTCGTATAAACATCGTCTAATTGTGTCACTAGACATGGTTGAAAACGCAACGCTCCAAATCCCGAAAGCCTTGCCGCGAATTTTGGGCTTCAGGGTTTAGGGTTTAGGGGCTTTGGGCGGCCATGATGCCACGATGTGGATATTGTTTTTGAGGGGGAAGGGGCGCGTTAAGTGTATTTGGGGTGCTCCTGCCGCAAGGACCTGCGATTCGCAGATGATTCCTGTACCCAAGGTGCGCTGAAGCAGCCATGTCTGCACGGTACTTTGGTAGACCCTGATAACCCTAAACCCTAAACCCTGAACCCTACACCCTAAACCCTAAACCCTAAAACCCTAAACCTTAAACCGTGACCCCTGATTTTCTAAACCCTAAACCCTAAACCCTAAACCCTAAACCCTAAACCCTAAACCCTAAACCCTCTCCCTCTGTTTCGGTTCCGGGGTTCCTGAAAACGGGGGCCCGAGAGTCGACGAGTGCCAGCCTCGCGGAGGCTCCACCTCCACGCTCCGGGCTGTGATGAGGCCCATGGCTTGAAGGTTTGGGGGTTTAGGGTTTGGGGTTTCGGGTTTGGGGTTTAGGGTTTAGGGTTTGGGGTTTAGGGTTTGGGGTTTAGGTTTCGGGTGTAGGGTTTAGGGTGTATAGGGTCGTGGCGAGTAGGTAGGGTTTGGGATAGGGCATGAGGTTCAAACAAAAAGAGAGCTAGGACCAACATTGTGCCACCTGGCTTTGGTGGGTTCCTGGCTTCTGGGCTTTTGCCGCCTCTTGCCTGGAAGCCTTCGTCTTAACTCTCTGCCTTTTTGCTTTGCGGCTGCACCCGCCCCCAGGGTTTCGGGTAAAAAGTGCCCTAAATCAGGTTCTAACCACAAGTTCCCCTTTTTATACCCTGCTTGCCTCCCCATCAGGCAAGTGAGTAATGTTTCATGCTGTGTGCGGCGATTGGGGCTTGGGTTAAACGTTTATACCTTGCTCAGGGGTCCCAACGTCCTTAAACTGGAATGGGGATCCTGAGATGGTGTTAGGAAATGCCCCCCCCCCCCCCCCCCCCCCCCATCCCCTTCGGAATCGCTTATGTGGCAGCGTCTTTTGAGACCCCCCCTGTAAACCCTATAAGGCCAGCAAACCAAACGCGTGTGGGGTTTAGGGTTTAGGGTTAGGGTTTGGGGTTTTGGGTTTGGGGGTCCCTATAAACCCTGCAAGCCCTATCATCGGCAAACCCTCAGGACTGGCGTGTTTCTATGCTTTTATGTTTCCTGTCAGCACTTTCAGCCTTCGTACATACTTGTTTCGCATGGTGCTTCTTTTCTCAGATTCATGACTTCCCTAGACCCTAAGCTGCAAAACCAAAAAGCCCTGCAAACCCTAAGCCTTTCAAACCTTTGAAACCCTTCAAACCCAGAACCCTCAAGACCCTAAACCCCTAAACCTCAAAACTAAACCCCCAAACCTCTAGACCGGAAAAACCCTAAACCCCTCAACCCCTGAAGCCCTAAACGCCCTAAACCTCCAAACCAAGAAAGCCTTAAAATCCCTAAGCCCTAAAAAACCCAAGCAAACCCTAAGCCCTAAACCCGAAACCCGAAACCCGAAACCCTAAACCCTAAACCCTAAACCCTAAACCCTAAACCCTAAACCCTAATCCCTAAACCCTAAACCCTAAACCCTAAACTCTCCCAAAAAGCCAGGCAGTTCGTGTTGCCGGTGCGCCTGGCCTTCGGCAACCGGAGACTCCGTCGGCTCTGGCCTCTCTGGCCTGCCTTAGATACGTTTTGGGGTCTTAGGGATTTGAGGGTTTTCGGGGTTTAGGGTTCAGGGCTAGGGTTTCGGGTTTAGGGTTTAGGGTTTAGGGTTTAGGGTTTAGGGGTTTAGGGTTTAGGATTTAGGGTTTAGGGTTTAGGGCTTTAGGGTTTTAGGGTTTAGGCTTAGGAGTTTGGGGTTTAGGGTTTTAGGGGTTGGTGGGTTAGGTTGTAGGGGTCTCGCGTTGAGGGTTTTAGGTTTGGGGATTAGGTTTTAGGAAGTTTAGGGTTTGGGTTGTAGGGTTGCTTGAAACTTTCCGGGTAGTTAGTACGGTTATAGCCAGATTATAGAGAACCCCCAGCCACCCCCCGAGTCGCGGAGCAGCACCTCCGACAGTAGGATTTGCCCAAGCGGCCCCAAATCTCAGGATGCATCTGAGCCTTCGAGACGTACGTTGAAGCTCCTGAAGTGTTTCCAGTCCATAGGTTGGGGATCATTGGGGGTTACTAAATATACTTACCAGATGCGCTTCTCATGGGTACTAGCACTATCCCTATGAAGGACTGTTTGTACAAGGGGGAACATCCCAAGACATTAGGGTTTAGTGTCGTCCAGCGGTAAGGGGTGCCTAAAGCCCTGAACCCTCGCTGCCAGGTTTGCTGCGTTCTTGCTGATGTGCCTGGGCAGCCAAAGACTCGCAAAGTAGCACTGGGAGGAGGTTTAGGGTTTCAGGGTTTAGGGTTTAGGGTTTAGGGTTTAGGGTTTAGGGTTTAGGGTTTCAGGGTTCAGGGTTCAGGGTTTAGGGTTTAGGGTTTAGGGTTTAGGGTGAAGGCCCGCTTGCAATCCCGCAAGATGTTTGTTGGTAGGCATGCGACACGATGTTTTCTTGCACATGCAGCGTGGATGGGGCCACGAGTCATGGTGCCTCACACACCTTGAACCCGAAGTCCGGCAATTTATTTAGGGTTTGTATGGGTTTACAGGGTTAAGGAGGGGACAATTGTTTCAAATCAAGCTCTTTTGACCTAAGCCATATACCCTAAAGCCTAAAGCCTAAACCCTAAATCTGATGTGTCATGTAGGTGAACGGAGTCCCCGAAACGCCCCTCTGAGCTGAGCTTAGCCACTTGGGGCCTGTCGTGTTATACTTGGGTTTACGGATTTTCAGACGAGATGGTATCTAAGGACCCTTTTCAAGGGCAAAGGAGAGGCCTAGAAAGAGAGAGGCCTTCGATCCCTTTGCAGGTTCGCCGGCCAGTTGGTCATGGACATCGGCGGGTTCCAGTCCCAAACTCTTGGGAGGGTTTAGGGTTTAGGGTGTCATGTTTTCCCTTGTTGAGTTGAAGAGGGCCACATCTCAGGAACATCTTTCAGGGTTTAAAGCACCCAGAGGCGTTTCAGGCCTTAGAGTTTCTTGTGTTTTTAGGGGTATTTCCCAAAGTAGGGGTGCCCCTTTTCAATACACCATATAGACTTGAATCCCTTTAACGGGACCGCCCAAAAGGGTACCCCTATTTTGGGAAACCCCCGTGTAAGTGTAAGTATGATCGGAGTATTGCTGAGATGGGGAAACTCACAGCAAGCATGATGCTCGTATCTTTTGACACGAAAAGGTATGTTAATACCGTACAAGCTTGAAGCAGGTAGGTCAGTAAGTCTGGTGTCAGAGAAGTGCTTTGAGGAGGTCTGAAGTAAACCCTCAAACCAAAAGCCCTAAACCCGAAACCCTAAACCCTAAACCCGAAACCCTAAACCCTAAACCCTAAACCCTAGACCCCAAACCCCGAACTCCAAACTCCAAACCCTAAGCCAAGCCTGAGGCGAAGCTTGAACCTGCAAGGCCCCTTCTTTTGTCCTTCTTAGCCCCAACTCTCCGGGGGTTAGGGTTTAGGGTTTAGGATTTAGGGTTTAGGGTTAAGGATTTAGGGTTTAGGGTTTGCTTAAGGGCCTTGAAGGGTGTAGGGTTTAAGGGGCTTGAAGGGTTTTGGGCCTAAGCCCTAGACCCTAAACCCTTTACTCTTTACCCTAAACCCTAAGCCCTGAGCCCCAGAAGCCAGAGTGGAAGTCCCCGCCGGAAGTTTTTGCAAGTCTTGGCTTACGGCCTGCAAATCGAACCCTATTCCTAAACTCCCTAAACTCCCTGAACCCCCAACACCCCCTTCACTCCCAAACCTCCCAAACCTCCCTAAACTCCCTAAACTCCCTAAACTCCCTAAACTCCCTAAACTCCCTAAACTCCCCGAACCCCCAATACCCCCCCTTACTCCCAAACCTCCCCAAAAAAGCTCTAAACCCTAAACCCTAAACCCTAACTCCCTAAACCCTAAGCCCTAAACCCTGAACTCCCTCTTCCCAGGCAGTTCTTCAACCAGTCCATGGGCCTGATCCCCTATGGCACCCAGCAGGAGATCGTCACGGTGGGCGCTCAGAGGGGCTTGGGGTTTAGGGTTTAGGGTTTAGGGGTTTAGGGTTTAGGGTTTAGGGTTTAGGGTTTAGGGTTTAGGGTTTAGGGGGTTTGGGGAGGTTTGCGTTGTGGGATTTGGGGGGGCTTTGGAGTGGTTTTGGGGTTGTTGGAGTGGTTTTGGGATTCGGATTGGGGTTTCAAGGTTGATGGTTTCGGGGTTTAGGGGTCGTGCCTGGTTGAGTATTTGAAGCATGAGAGGCCTACGGCGAATGCTTTGAGCCTTCAGTAAACTCGAAGCCCTAACCCCTAGGGGGGATCGTTTCTACTTGAGCCTCGTTGAAAGTGAATGGAACACCGAGCTCTTAGCCAGGAACAACGGAACGGGGTACTTTTCTTCCTAGAGCCACTGGGTTGTAATGATTGGGGTTTATGAAGTCTTTTTTGAACATTGTGCCTTTGACATTCTTTGAATTCATCTTGCATCCTTTGCTGTACCTTTGCTATTGCTGTCCTGAATTTCTTTGGCTAGCTCCTGCTACGATTGCTACTCTTGCCATTCCTGTGCCACTGCAATGATGACATCTTTTGCTGAGTCCCTGAACCCTCCAAAAGCCTGCAAAACCCTCAAGTCCATCCACGCGCTCAAAAATGCCCAAAAACCCGCAGAACCCTCAAAACCTCAACCCCCCCCCTCCAATTTGGGATGTTCCCATAGCTCTTGCTGCAAACTGTGCAGGTCGCGGTCTTGACCATGATACCAGGCAGGGGGAGATGCCACTAAGGAGGGAGCCGTGGAGTTAGGGCTTTCAGGGTTTCTTCAGGGGTTTAGGGTTTAGGGTTTAGGGTTTAGGGGTGAGGGGTTAGGGTTTCGGGCTGCAAGGGTTTGCGGGTTTAAGGGCTCAGGGCTGGCGGGGTGGGAAGGGGTGGCTGTTGGGATCGAGAACGACGAGGTGTAGGGTCCCACTTGCTCATCAAGGCCAGTGCCCTAAACCCCAAACCCCAAACCCTAAACCCACACCCTGAACAAAAACCCTGAATCCTGAAAAAAACCTTAAAACCCAAAAAAACCTCTAAGCCCTGAACAAACCCCTAAAGCCCTACAAAGGCTCTAAGCCCTGAAAAAGAAGAACAAAAACCCCAAAGCCCCAAACAAAAGCCCTGAAGCCCGAGAACCCCAAGCCAAAAACCGCTTTGGGAAGGCCAGCAGCGTGTATGGTTTAGGGTTAGGGTTGAGGGTTGAGGGTTGAGGGTTGAGGGTTGAGGGTTGAGGGTTGAGGGTTGAGGGTTGAGGGTTGAGGGTTGAGGGTTGAGGGTTGAGGGTTTAGGGTTTAGGGTGTTAAAGCCGCCTTGGGAAGGCCAGCTGCTGGCCATCCCTGGGAATTTAATCACCGGCTACCTCTCCAAGCGCCGGCACCTTGGGGGTTTCAGGGGTTCAGACTTGGGATGTCCTATATATTTATGTATGTGTTTGTATATGTATGTACATATATATATATGACTATCATTATCCATGTATCGTTATCATCATCATTATCATTTTTCTGCGTATCAAGTGTATTCTGACTATACAGGTCATCATATTCTTGTCCTTCTTGTTATCGTTGGTGTGAATACATACCTTTAATATCTTAAAAAAGAGAGAGAGAGAGAGAGAGAGAGAGAGAGAGAGAGAGAGGGAGGGGGAGAGAGAGAGGGACAGAGAGGGACAGAGAGGGACAGAGAGGGAGAGAGAGGGAGAGAGAGAGAAGCCAAGACCCAAACCAAGGGGGCGGCCCGCTCTTTCTACTGCGCCGCATGGTGCGCCCGCACTGAGATTCCTGGGGGGGAATGTTGGAAGCGTGACAAATCTGTGCTTGATGTGAAGAATATTACATATATATATATATATACATATATATATATACTTATATATATATGTATATATATATATATATACACCCTAACCCCCATGTTGTCCACGCCCGCAGATTCCTCTCACCTCCTTCCTGGTGTCTGTCGGGGCCCTCATGGCCGAGGCCACAGGGCGGGCACACTTTTAGGGTTTTAGGGTTTAGGGTTTGAGAGTTTAGGGTTTAGGGTTTAGGGTTTTAGAGTTTAGGGTTTAGGGTTTTAGAGTTTAGGGTTTAGGGTTTAGGGTTTAGGGTTCGAGCTTGGGATGCAGGGTTTCTGCGTCGCAGCGACATCAGCACAGCGGATGCGCACCACCCGAAGCAGGGAAGTTGCTGAAGGGACCGTCCGTGCAAATACACCCAAGACAAGCACCATCCAGGGTTAAGGGTTTAGGGTTTAGGGTTTGGGGAAACGGGAGCCTTTAGGCCCTTAGAAGGGCCTTCGTAGGACCCTTGTGTAATTTAGGAGATTTCCCGCAGCCAGGTCCGGCAGATGTGGTTCATCGCGGTTGTCGTCCGACACTCGGAAGCCTCAGCCGAGGCAAAGTGTCACATGGTAGACAAAGGTTATGTAGTTTATACACAGCATGCTTATGTGCTTCTGCTCCCGAAGCCGTGCCAACAGGCACCTTCTTCGGGTTGCGTCGAAGAGGAGAGCAGGGCTGACCAACAGCGCCCCCGGGTGTGTTCACGGGTCATGGAAATCGAGGCTCTTGGATTTTTCCCGCTTGTGACAAGGGGCTCTCGCGTTGGCTTTGCGTGCCTTCGAACTCTTAAGGCTTTGCATTTTGTTGCAAGTGGCGCGCTCTCGCTTCGGTCCCTTTGTGTTTCTTCTTGGAGTGCTGTTGGAGCCAAGATGTACCGGGGAGACCCCCTCCCAGAAACCTTCGAGTTCAAAGCAGGATCCAGGGTTTTTTAGGATTCCCATGCGGCTACCCTCTAGCTGAGGTCATCTGCCTGAACTACGCTGGCCTTCCGAACGTGCCGCTCATGCGCCTTGTTTCCGGGCCGGGGGCCCCCGGGAGAGAACTTGTGAATCGCGGGTTCGGGGCTGCCCCGGAACCCGAAACCCGAAACACGAAACTCTGAACCCGTAAACCTCTAAACGCTCGCTTTCCTTCATATACCTATATATACATATATATAATATGTATATGTACATGTATATGTATTTATTTGAACCAATTTGTGGCCAATCCCTCTTATGCCGGGGTTTGTGTTCTCAGGAGTGGCAAAGTCACACCAAATTCGTACGTGTCGACTTGTTGCGCCAAAAGCCGAGTCGCGGGCTGGGTTTTGGGAATCAGGGTTTTAGGGGTTCAGGGGCTTAGGGGTTTAGGGGTTCTTGCGGTTTTGGGGCTCGGGGGCTTTCAAGTGGTTTAGGGCAGCACCTGCGCAGGGTGGCGCCGCCTGGCCGCGTGGGCGAGGCGGGTTGGCAGTTCTCCTTAGGGTCCCTTTTGGAGACGTATTCTTCAGGGCTGAGGGCTTAAGTTTTAGTGCTGCAAAGGTTCAGGGCCTTCCAGCAGTTCGGGTAACCCAAGAGACAGCCCCAGACACTACTCTGCGTACAGGGCTATGGACCTAAACCCTAAACCCTAAACCCTAAACCCCAAACCCTAAACCCTAAACCCTGAACCCTGAACCCTGAACCCTAAACCTCCCCGGCCCCAATCCTGAACCTCTGTGAGCCAGGCACTGAGCTCAATAGGCATTGCAGCCCAGCTGGCCAGCCTCATCGGAAATGCGCCTTGGGCAAAGTTGTCAAATTCTGGTGGTTTAGCGGTTTGGGGTGTTGTTCTTGTTCTTCATGTGAGTGAGTGCTTGTGAGTGTAAGTGAGTCTGAGTGTGAGTGTGCGTGTGAGAGTGAGAGTGAGTGTGAGTGTGAGTATCCCATGAGGGGCTGCAGTCAACTGATGTGTGAGAGTTCATGGCTGGCAAGGAAAGAGAGAGACGCATAATCCTGGAACCACGCGTTGCCTCTGCAGCCCTGCCTGAATTGTGGAGAGCACAACGTCCTCGGCGTAGAAGCGCCAGTTAGGCAGCAGTTGCACAGAGTTGCACACGGTGTCTCAGCTTCCCTGGAGCTTGAACCCTAAACCCTAAACCCTAAACCCTAAACCCTAAACCCTAAACCCTAAAGCCACCCCCCCCAACTGGGACCCCAGAGGTCTTCGTGGCGATACTTAACCGGTGGCTCATGAGCACTGACCTCTACGACCCCCTCTGGCCACCCTGGCTGCATTTTGTTTTTTTGTGACTCCGCAGCCCTCGGCTGCCTTTCACAGAATCGTAATGAATATGGAACTCATATGCATGTTTCATATAGTAAACCACAAGACAGTAGAGTAAAATCGAAGACAAACTCACCAACAAAAGGGGTTTGCGGAGGACTTAGCTGGTCTGGGAGTGTGCTTGTGGGGGGGGGGGGGGGGGAGGTTGTGGGGGTCGGGGCGCTTCCAATGAGCGTCGTTTAGGGTTTTGGGTTTGGGGTTTAGGGTTGGTGTGGATCACGTTCAAGTAGAACTCCTATTGTTGGCCTTTCCAAGAGAAGGCTCCCAAAAACCCTCACGCCCCAACCCATAAAGCCTCAAAAACCCCCCCTTGATCCAAGTGCCTCAGCATGTCGAGCTTTGAGCCAGACCCACTGTAAACCCTGAACCCTAAACCCTAAACCCAAAAACCTGAGCCCACTGAAAAGACGAGGGCTGCACGAAGGAATCATCACCGGTTCCAGCATCATTTGGCTTCTCTCTCTCTCTCTAGCCGGGGTCCTCCTCGGTTTAGGGTTTAGGGTTTGGGGTTTAGGGTTTAGGGTTTAGGGTTTCGGGCCTTTTAGGGGTTAGGGTTTAGGGTTTATAGGGTTTCGGGGCGCTCCAAGGATCTACTACCCGACCTGCGGCTTGCTCTCACTGTGTGCGATCTTGCCGCTGTCCGGGAGCGGCCAGTCGGGCACACGGGGGCCTCTGGGTCACTTTAAGGGTGGCCCAATTTCAGCAAATTCGCTTGCAGGGTTTTTTTGCGGCGCTTTCACCAAACCTTGGGTACTCCTTCTATATGCCGAATAGAAAAGAATCCCCTTAAAGGGACTCCCAAAAAGGGTACCCCTATTCTCGGAAACCCCCACCTGTGCTCTGAGAACAGGCAGAGAGAGTACATCTGCCTGTCTCCCTGTGTTGCGCAGGACGCCCCGCGGCGGTTGGGGTGCTGCCAGCGGGAGCCTGCAGGAGGGCTCCGCAGGGTTCAGACTGGGGTTGTTAGAAGAGGGTTTAGGGTTTAGGGTCTGGGGTTTAGGGTTTAGGGTTTAGGGTTTAGGGTTGCCGGTGCTTTGGGCCTTGGAGCTAGGCGCGTCAGCAAGCGAAGAGGGACTGCACCTGACTTGAGACCGTAGAAAGATCTCGAACGATTGGCGAGGAGCAGTTTGTGGCCGTGGTCTACGCGCACAAGGCGATGCAGCGGTGGAAGCGGCAGGCGCATTTTAGTGTAAACTCTAAGCCCTAAACCCCTAAACCCTAAACCCCTAAACCCCTAAACCCCTAAACCCCCAAACCCCTAAACCCCTAAACCCCTAAACCCCTAAACCCCTAAACCCCTAAACCCCTAAACCCCGAAACCCTAAGCCCCTAAGCCCCTAAACCCACCTGAAAGGTGGCGCTTCGCAGGGCCCGGGCTTCAGCTTGGTTGTTCCATGTTCGCCCCAGATGGCTGTTGGTCCTCAAGGAACTGAAGCTCAGATGCCATCAAGAAGGGTACTACACCACTGTATCATCCCATCCTGGCAGCTTTCCTGAAGTTCGCCTTAAAATTGCAGGCTTGAAGACTAGATCCCCCTGCAAGAGCGCCTGTGGAGCTTAAGGCGGGGTCATCCGCTGCCTGAGAGCAAGAGGCCCAACGGCCGACGGGATCTGAGCTTCTCTCCTTCTTTTCGTTATTATTTTGAATTTGAAACATTTTTTTGGATTAATTTTTCAGAGACTGCCAGAGAGAGTCTCAACTTTTCTCTCTGTTCTTTCGAGGGCGCTGAAGAGTCTTGTCGTTTGCACTTGGGCTTGAGTTTGGCACAGCAGGTAGCCGATTGCGCCAGTTGATCTGCTTTCAGTAAGGTCTCCAGCGTTGAAGCAGTACGATGCGGCTTCTCTGTGACCAGCTCTGCATTGCCCGGTTCTCAGTTGAGTGACGATTCCACGAATCAATGTCTTCCTCGAGCCCACAGGGCGCTGACCCTACAGCCAACTCCTGAACTCGGATTCCCCAGAAGTCTCGCAGTAGCCGAGTCACCAAAGACCTTGCAGGCATGCAGTTCATGTTGCGCCAGCCCATGGCATGATCGTCTCTTTCAGGAGGCTGCACAGACTGAACGGTTCCTCCCTATCAGGGCGGCACCGCGATCTGTACAGATTTGAAACTGCATGAGCGCACCAGAAAACAAGACTTCTGGCAGTGCAGGCGGGCATGGGGCGACCTCAGAAACCTTGAACAGGATGAGCCCTACAGCCATATATCCCCACATGGGGGGTTTCCGAAAATAGGGGTACCTTGTTGGGGTTCCTTATTTTAAGGGAATCTGTTTATTTGGGGGTCTCAAATAGGTCCCCCTTTTTTCGTAAACCCCATATCTGACGAGGGTTTCGGAGTTTAGGGGAGGGCCATTTCTGGAAGGTTATGGACCTTGAGATGTCTATGCAGCATGAGAGCAAAGAAGGAGGCTGACGCTGAAGGCTTCCACGTCAAGCTCGCATCAAAACCCAATCCAGCATGAGCTGAGTTTGCAGAGGTCGCCCTTGCCTCAACCCTTAAGCGCACTGTGCATTTTGAAAGCACCTCAGGACAAAAAGTCCTCTCTCCCGGAAAAAAACTTGCTACAGAACAGCGCTTCCTGAGCCGTGATCCAGCTGTTTGACGGATCGCACAAGGGCTCCCAGCCATCCCAAAGCCACGTGAAGAGCAGCTCGTCTTCGCGGCGAGCGGGAAGCCCTTGCGCACAGCGCTCGGGAAGCCTGAAAGCTGGGTCTCTCGCCTCTGGGGGGCATCGTTCCTCTGTTGGAAGCTGTGGACCCAAGGGCCGAGAGGGCCTACTTGGGGTCACAAGAATCGACTTATGAGTTTTTGCACAAGAATACTCTGCAACGCTGGCTTCCTCAGAACGATAACCTCCATGAGTGGCCCCTTCCCCCGCAAGCCGAGAACCTGTGGCAACCTGCGTCTCCGAGCGTCCGGTCGCGAAGGCGTCCCGAAAGATACTTGGAGCACGCGTCTGTCTCAATGTGCTTTCAAAGGTGGTTTCCACGTCCGGATGTTGGCCGTTGGGATAGATAGGAAAGATTACTGGTCATTGAGACACTTTATACTTTTCAAAGACGCTCCTCGAAAGGAGGGGGCTGTTAGGTTCGAGTTGAGCTCATGCCAAAAAGTATCCCTTGCCTAGGACTCAGCCAAGAGCCCAATACCCCTTAATTAAGGAATATACCTTAAATCATACTAAGGATCCTTATATGGTTTGAGGAATATTCCTTAGTAATGGGTTTTGGGCCTAAAGACAGCCTGTACATAGGCATGCTGAGCGATATTCTTAGCCTCGCCTGAATCAACTTTCCGAACATGCGCCACGAAGCCCCGGCTCAATGTTCACGCGCTGTGCAGGGCTTCTGTGCATTTCATTGACCAGTTTTCCAAAGACATGGTCGCTTTTGGGGTTCCTGTGAGACCGTGGCCCCTTATGTGCAGGGTATCCCAAAAGGGACAATCATTTAGAGAACTCACCTCACGGAGGTTTCCCTTCGAGTTCTAACCAGCTCCACAGTTTGGAAGTCCATTTTTGCCCCTTCCCCTTCCCCTTCTCCCCTTCCCCCTTCCCCCCCCTTCCCCCCCCCCTCTTTCCCCCCCCCCCCCTTCCCCCCACCTCACATTCTTGGGGTCGGGTTTCGGTTTTTTGGTTGCGCTTCAGAGTCCATAGAACCCCCAGAAAAAACCGAAAGAACAAAAAAGATGGAAGCATCTCAGAGAATCTAGGCCGAACCGGCTGCAAAAAGCGATTTCTTTGAAGCTTGCGCACACACAGAGACACTCTCCCACTCTCTCTTTCTCTCACTCTCCCTCGCCCTCTCTCCCTCCATCCCTCTGTTCCCTTTCGATCACTGCGGGCTCTTACGGCTGCAAGTGGCCAACAGGATTAATACGGTGCGCCCACGAGACGTCCCACGGGCATGCTTACTCAAGGACATCTCACGGCATATTCTTTTCAAAGTGACTCTCGGTGAACCCGCTCTGTAGGGTTGAGCTCCGGATTTCGGAGCTCTCTTCGCCTCACACTCACGCCAGGCCGAGGGTTTCTGTTATGGTTTGGGGTTTGGGGTTTGGGGTTTGGGGTTTGGGGTTTAGAGTTTAGGGCGATCATTGCACACCGTCGCAGGCCCGGGCCCGATTTAGCCAGGGTTTTGCCTCCATCTTGCGGGCCGCTGGCGGCCCAAGCTCTACAAAGAACTTGCGGGCTCTCAATCCCAGAGAGCTCCTTCCCCCGGTAGTTTTGGGGGGTGTGCCCTTCTCCTTCGTATCATTGTTCTCATGATGCGGTTATGACGATTCTTGAATTCAGGGTTCGTAGGCTGACAACAGGAGTAGAAAGCGGGGCATCATGGGAAGCATTGTACGGGAACGGACAGGCTCTGCACCCCCAAACCCCCCAACAAAAAACCCAAAAACCCGAAAATCCCGAAAAGCCCTAAAAGCCCCTAACCCCTAAACGGGCCTCCACCCCTAAGTCTGAATCCGAGGGCACTAAAGGCTAAGGATTGGCGCACCCATGTCGCAGTGCCTGGGGAGGGCTTTGACCCCGCTGCAGCTCTATGCCAGCTCCCTTGCCTCCGAAGATGAGGTTCCTTGGAAGAAGGGTTTGGGATGGTTTAGGGTTTAGGGTTTAGGTTTTAGGGTTTAGGGTTTAGGGTTTAGGGAAGTTTAGGGTTTAGGGTTCTTGGGGTTTAGGGTTAGGGAACATGAAAGATTTGAGTGGTTGTTCGCTAGGAACCCCTTTCGGGATGCTGAGCAGATTGGACTCTATATAAGTAGGACTGTCAGTATGTTAGAAAAGCCTCGTTCTTGCTGATGATTTTTCTGTTTTTGTCCTATTAGATTCCCAATAAGGAATGAGCCATGAAAATTTCGAGTATGACCCAACAACAAGGAAGCAGAATTGGGGTTGAGGGTTTAGTGTTTAAGGCCCACGCTCACACCCTCTTCAAGGCCAAAGTTTCGTGGAAGCATCACCTGCGCCTAGCAACAGTCATCCCAGAATATTGGGCCCTTGAGCTGCAGTTCTTATTCCTTCTGTCGGGCTGTCAGGGACAGCCGTGTCCCGATGGGCAGAGTTCAACACAGGAAGCATTCCAGCCCCCGCCGATACAAATTGCTCTTATAAAACAGAACATCTTCGTGTGATGATCTCCTCCCTCCTCACCGCAGCAAGCAAGAAGAGCATCTGCCAAAAACTCCTCAGCCTCCGAAACTCCTCCCCAAACCTCCCCAGGCTCCTGAGACACTCTTCCCCATGTACACGGTTCCCGTGGAAGTGCTCCTGGAGATGGTTGCCCTCGAATCGCACGAGGATCTGAAGGCTGGGATCTCCCCTGGGTTTCGTTCATGATGGAAGAGCAAACCTTTCAATCCCATGGGCCAATTTTGCCCCCCCCCCTTAAGGGGTCAATGTCGAAACCATTAAAACAAATTCCGGTGTCGTGGCTTCTTTTGTCCAGGATTTCGGTATGGGAGAAGGTTATGCGGAAGCTCGGGGGCAACGACGCTCAGCATGCAAGACCGCTTCGTAGTTTGTGCACGTAGATCGTATGCAGAAAGGCCCGAGGCACCATTTTGAATCTTTGGGCTGGGTGACCTCAGAAACTACTCCCCTAGCCAGTGCTCTCATAGTGTTCAAGAGCAAACGCTTGTGCAGCAGAATCATTCGTCCAACCTCTCCAAGTATGCACGTGGGGCCACGCACTGCGAAGGCTCGTGGCAAAGTCGTCGTCTTCAGCGGAAACATGGGGAGCGCATCTTTCATTTCACACCAGTGGGTTGCCAAGCAACACCCTGATCCTGAATTCCGGCAGATGCAGGTGCTGCAGCAGGCCTGCAGACATTTGTTGAGCAGGATTGGATCAATTCATCCAGATTTCACCACGCAAGCCTGTGTGTATTCTGCCAAGGGCATCTCTTTCCAGGAATTCCAGTCGCGGCCTCTGTTCCTGTGGTACGACTACTTCTCCGTCCCACAGCTTAGTTACCCCACGGAAGGGAGTAGCAGCGAGCAGGCGAAGGCCATCAACTGCATCCCCGCCTACATCGCGAAGTGCCGCTTCTTCTTTGCCTTGTGCCCCACGATGGAGTGCTCCGGTCATGACGGGCTGCAAAATTCCTCGACGTGGGCAAGGCGAGGGTGGTGCCGCATCGAGCGTGCAGCAAGGGAGCTTTCTGCTCACGACACCTGGGTCCTCATGCAGAGTCCTAGTTCCTTTGAGGTGGTGGGCACGGCGGTGTCGTTTGTGTCGGGTTCCGTCGGTGAGGGGGACTTCACGATGGAAGAGGACCGCACGAAGCTTGCCCCGGTCATGAAGGACATCGTCAGGCGCAAGCTGATGCTGTCCCTGCAGGCTGGAGATTTTCCCGCCTACCGCCGCCACCTGAACCTGCAAAGTGTTCACTTCCGTGGGCTCGTCGTAGAGCCGATAGGTGACATAGTTCCAGGCTACGAGAAAGACCCGTCTGACGATACACCGGAGGCAGTGGTGGCGCACTTCCTCTACCAGAATGGCCTCACCAGTATCAGCGGCAGAGACAGTGCGGGCTGGTGCCCGTTGCACTACGCAGCAATGTCCGGGAACAACCAGGTGGTTGAGGGCCTGCTCTTGCGGCGCGCCAACCCTAACCGGCGAACCTCCCGGGATGTACCTAAGCTAGGCTTCCCGCCTTTGATGTCTGCTTTGGACCTGGCGGTCTTCTACAAGCACAACGATGTGGCAGCCGTGCTGATCGCTGCGCGGGCCCAGCTGCAAGGAGGGCTCATCCCAGCCATGCACCAGGCATGCTTTACGGACAACGCAGAGGGCATCCGCCTCATCTGTGCTGCAAGGGGCGACCCAACCGTAAGAAACATCTTTGGTTCAAGGCCATTGCAGGTAGCAGCCGGCTACGAGTCTATGGCGGCACTGGAGCAGCTGTTGCAGACTCCAAGCACGCCAGGCACCCTGGAGCTCTCACGGGCGCTCCATGGCGCCGCGGAAGTCCGGGGCCTCTCCGCTCAGATGGTGGCGCGCCTGGTCGAGATGAGGGCCGACGTCAACTTTCAGCACGAGCCAAGGCGGGACCTTTCCCGCTTTGGCCGGCTGCTGACTGCCTCGAACGCCCTGCAGTACAGGCTGGGGCGAGCCACGGCGCTGACAGCTACGGCCTATCACCTGCGCGGCCGCACGGCGCTGATGGCAGCTCTGCAGTCTGCGCAGTATCAGGGTGCTGCTGCCCTGATCGCAGCTGGCGCAAGGTTGGACATCCAAAACTGCCAGGGTTGGACCGCGGCCGACTTTGCCATCGGTCAATCTGTCCCGGGCTTCTTGCAGCAAGGTTTGAATGGAGACCCTTCCGAGTGTGACAGGGTGTCCTCACTTGATCTTTACCTTGAGCTCTGAACAGGATCCTCTTTGCGCCAGGGTTAGTACAGGGTTAGCACGAGTCTTGCTGTTGCAGCGACCCACATGATTGCTACTGCTCTAGAGTCTAGGCTTTATGGTAATCATGAAGGTTACCAGACCTTTTCTTCAAGCCTACCGATCTCGTTGGTACATCGAGCTGGTTCTGAGAACATGTTCCCGAGCTCTGTTAGGAGGATCCTGTGGCTGATTTCAGTCATTCTCGGCCTGTGGGCATTTTCCTGCGTCGCGTCACACAGTCGATGTTTTCAAAAACTGGCTGCCCTAGATCTCCGGCGGTGGACACTTCAAGTGGCCCAAACCAGCTTCTTTTGGGTTACGCCAACCCGTAGTTCCAAGCCAAGAACCCGAGACCCCAAATCCTGGCAGGGCTTTCGGTTCTTTGGGGGCTTGCGCAGTGCTTGCGCCAGGTCAAGGGTCAATGGGGCCCTACGGCTCTTTAGGGCGTCAGATGTTCCCCCCTATACTAACAGTCCTTGATAGGAGTTGGAATAGGGGGTACTATTTTAAGGACTGTTAGTATAAGGGGAACATCCCAAGGAATTTCCCGACTGCAGACATGAGCTCCTCAAGTCCGGACTGTCGGCACCCTGGTTACCATGTTTTCAGAGAGTCTCTAGCTCCAGCAGTCTTCAGTTTCAAGGTTTCCTGCCCCTGCACTCTTTGCTACCGAGTTCCAGGCCCCGGCCGTCTCCAGCAAGCTTTAGTTTCAAGGTTTCCTCCCCCTGCACTCTTTGCTACCGGGCACCAGGCCCCAGCCGTCTCCAGCAGTCTTTAGTTTCAAAGTTTCCTCCCCCTGCGCTCTTTGCTATCGGGCACCAGGCCCCAGCCGTCTCCAGCAGGCTTTAGTTTCATCGGGCTCCCCCCCTCCCCCCTCTCCCGGGGGCGGGATTGGGGGGAGTGGGGGAGTGGGGGTAAGTGGGGGGGAGGGAGTGGGGGGGGGGGGGGGGGGGGGGGGAGTGGGGGAGTGGGGGAGTGGGGGACTGGGGGAGTGGGGGAGTGGGGGAGTGGGGGAGTGGGGGAGTGGGGGAGTGGGGGAGTGGGCTTCCGCTAGTACTCCGGCTTTTTTCCCTTCAAAGTCTAAGTCCTAGTTCCTGCCTTGAACGACCTCCAGCCCCAAACTCCCAAATCTGCACCCGAGGCCCTGCAAAAGGGGTGTCCCGCACGTGCGCTGGTTGAGACAGGCTCTTGTTTGAGGGCTCCATTTTTGCCGCCATGTCGATAAGCATGAAAGTTTCGCTGCTCAGTGGCGAGACAGCGACTGTGCAAGCAGGCCCCGATGAAACGGTGGAGACGCTGAGACAACGGGCACAGGTCGCGCTGGGAGTCCGGAAGGGGCGGCTGCTGGACTCTTCTGCGGAAGCTCTGGATGGATGCACGCCCACCAAGTTCGCCCGTGTGAAGGATGGTGACTCGCATTGACTCGCTGACATTGTATGTAAGCCGGGTTCAGATTCAGTCCTCCCATAGTGCTTTTGCCGCCATTCTTGGGGACGGATCGGTTGTGACGTGGGGCGATGTTGGGCGCGGTGGCGACAGCAGTGCTGTGCAGGGCCAGCTGAAGAATGTGCAGCAGGTCCATGCCTCAACTGGTGCATTTGCTGCCATCATCGGTGATGGATCCGTTGTGACCTGGGGAGATGCTGAGCAAGGTGGCGACAGCAGCGCAGTGCAGGGACAGCTGAAGAATGTGAAGCAGGTCGAAGCCTCTCACCGTGCTTTTGCTGCCATTCTTGGCGATGGATCCGTTGTGACTTGGGGTGACGCTGACCGTGGTGGCGACAGTAGCGCTGTGCATAAACCCTAAACCCTAAACCCTAAACCCTAAACCCTAAACCCTCTAGATCCAAATCGTCCTCACACCCGCGCCGTCTCCTCTTGGCTCTGATGCCCAAGCGAGTTCGCCCTCCCTTCCAGAGCCCCTGCGGCCCGCGTCCAGCGAGCCGAATGACCTCCTGTCCCTCGCCACAAGAGTTCAGCGTGATGTAGGGTTGAAGGCTTAGTGGGGTGTGGGGTTTCGGGTTTAGGGTTGAGGGTGTAGGGTTTAGGGTTCAGGGTTTAGGGCACATGGGTCACTTGAAGAGATTTTTGCTTGGGATTCTGAGCGAGTGTATCGGAGACGAAGATCGGACATTCATGCGCTTTGGGGCAAGGCCTTCTCAAGGTCGTTCGCGGTTCAGGGCTTTATTGTGGGGCAAGGCGGGGGGGCGATTCCTATGAAGGGTGTTAAACATTTTCGGGGGCGTTTGTTTGGCTTAGGATTGCAAAAAGCCTCAGGACGTAAATCCTACGAGCAAAGCATCCCAGACTCTCGTCATCTTGTGGACGACCTCGAGGTTTCCCTTGGGTAAACCCTACGCCCTAAACCCTAAGCCCTAGACCCTAAGCCCTAAGCGTGCTGTTGTCTGCATTGTCTACATGCGCGGCGCATCAGGTGGTGCGAACATGGACAGCGGCAGCTACCGCCATGGGCTTGGGGGAATTTGGGCCAGATTGGGTAGCTAGAACTGGAAGTATCACGAATTACTCAGAATCGGTTATAAGGCGCCAAATCAGGGCATGGTACCTGCAACTACCCATGCACCTTCAAGTAACCCTAAACCCTAAACCCTACACCCTAAACCCTAAACCTTAAACCCTAAACCCTAAACCCTAAACCCTAAACCCGAAACCCTAAACCCAAAACCCGAAACCCGAAACCCTAAATCCGAAGCAAGCAACGAAATGTTTCAGGTCACCGGCCCAAGGCTCATGGTTCTTAAGTCGGATCCGGCCATGTCCCGCCCGGCTGCCCTTCAACAGGGTGAAGGGTTTCGGGTTTAGGGCTAAGGGTTTAGGGTTTTGGGTTTTGGCTTTGCCTAAACCCTAAACCCTAAACCCTAAACCCTAAACCCTAAACCCTAAACCCTAAACCCTAAACCCGCCCGCCCCCCCTCAAAGCTCTATTGGGGTAGGCGGGCGCAGTCGAGCGCTCAGCGAGACCACGGCAGGCTCTGCTGGGCTGCAGAGCCTGCCAGGCACACCCCTGAGAGGGTCGCCTAGCAAGAGTCGCCTAGCATTGTCACAGATATATTGTATTACCCTAAAACCCTCGGGGGGGATCCTTTTCCATTTGCCTCCTGGCCCTGGCCCTGGCCCTGGCCCTGGCCCTGGCCCTGGCCCTGGCCCTGGCCCTGGCCCTGGCCCTGGCTCTGGCCCTGGCCCTGGCCCTGGCCCTGTGGCCCTGGCCCTGGCCCTGGTTCTGGCTCTGGCCCTGGCCCTGTGCTGGCCCTGGCTGGCCCTGGCCCTGACCCTGGCCCTGGCCGTGGCCCTGGCCCTGGCCCTGGTTTCCTGGCCCTGGCCCTGGCCCTGGCCCTGGCCCTGGCCCTGGCCCTGGGCCTGGCCCTCACCCTGGCCCTGGCTCACCCTGGCCCTGGCCCTGGCCCTGGCCCTGGCCCTGGCCCTGGCCCTGCGCTGGCCCTGCCTGGTGCTGGCCCTGACCGGTGCTGGCCCTGGCCCTGGACCTGGCCCTGGCCCTGGCCTTGGCCCTGGCGCCTGGCCCTGGGCCCTGGCTTCTGGTCTGGCCTCCTGCCCTTCTCTGTGCTTGGCCCTGCCCCTGCCTGAGCCTGAACGCTGCCTTGGCTCTTGCCAGACTGCACCCTGGCTGTGCAACCTCTTCGCCTTATTCAGAGGGCCCTTGGGCCCAGACCGTCCCCTTCGCGCAAACCTGAAGGAGAGTCCTTTGCCTTATGGACCCAAGTGACCCACAACCTGCAAGTTCACGCCTGAGTTTTCTGTGAGAGGGCCCTTCGGCCCAGACCGTCCCCTTCGCGTAAACCTGAAGGGGAATCCTTTGCCTTATGGCCCCAAGAAAAACCCAGAAGTCTAGTCACTAAAGGCTTGGGCTGTTCTAACTAGTTTCAGAATCCTCCAAGAATGTTCGACGTGTAAGTTTTGAATGCTTGCCTTAGTTTGGGCTGGCTCCGGCTCGGTTTCGCGGATTTTGAATGGCTGGCTTGGTTTTGGCTGGCTCCGGTTTGGTTTCGCAGTGAGTTGTGATAGGGTGGCCTTGGGGTGGGCATGTCTTCACACTATTGCGTTCAGCTGACCCGTGCTACACCCTAAACCCTAAACCCTAAACCCTAAACCCTAAACCCTAAACCCTAAACCCGAAACCCGAAACCCTAAACCCTAAACCCTAAACCCTAAACCCTAAACCCTAAACCCTAAACCCTAAACCCTAAACCCTAAACCCTAAACCCTAAACCCCAAACTGAATCAGCTCTCTGGAATCGGACTTTTCGCGATAAGTTAAGCCGTCGGAGGCCTCCCCGGAAGATGGAGGCTCGGCCGGGGGCTGTGCTTGGAAGCCCTCTTGGCTTAGTAAGTGGGGTTTAGGGTTTAGGGGTTTAGGGTTTAGGGTTTAGGGTTAGTTCGGGAAGAGGGGTTTCTGGGGGACACGAAGTAGACTTGGTGTGTCAAAACAGCTTCCAAGTGATGTCTTTCATTCACGGCAGTTGATCCTTGTTCATCCCTCTGGTTCTTAGTAGCGTTTAGGGGGGAATGAAGGCCCTATAGTCCCTTGAAGGGTCTATATAGGCACCTCATATCCCGCATTCCCTACTGAAAAAGATCAGAACCAGCCAGTCATGCCTTGTGAGTGTAAGCTCTGGGGCATGAGTGTCGGGTCGAAGTTCTTCGAAGCTCTTTGGACTTAGCAAGTCTACTTTGTATCCCGAAACCCTCTTATAATCCCCATAACCCACCCTTACCCGACTCACTGAGTCAAAAGGGCTTCCAAGTAGGGGTTCGGCTTTAGGGATCAGGATTAGGCTTGAGGGGTTTGGTTTAGGGGGTTTAGGGATGAGGCTTAGGGTTTAGGGGTGTAGGGTTTAGGGATCAAGATCATGCCAGTGGTGTGCGGTTTCTGTGCCCCCGTGCTTCTCACGACAACTGCCATGTCAAGAACAGTTGGCAAGCTTCATGATAGTGTTCGCTGGGGCCGCAAGGAGGGTCAGTGCGTTCGTTTTCAGCTTTTGTCGCGGCGCAATCATACCACACGGCTATCATTGGTGACATCAGTTTGTTTGCTGTTCCTTCGGCTGCGCATCGCATCGCAGGAGGCCCGCAAGCAAGGCAGAGCGGAGCACGAGCTTGTGATGCTGCGCTCTTTGACCGCTGCTTCTGAATTCTTCCGTGAGCGTGCTCTGTGAATCTGCAGCACTTGCGTTGTCGCATTCTCTGGACAGGGCCAGCAGTCCCATGAGCCGACATGCGAGCGCGAGCCCCATCTTGGTTATATTTTAGGCCTTGGCTTCATGTGAGCTTGGTGTTCTTTACCTCTGCCGAAGTCGCGCCTAAACCCTAAACCCTAAACCCTAAACCCTAAACCCTAAACCCTAAACCCTAAACCCTATTCCCTAAACCCTAAACCCTAAACCCTAAACCCTAAACCCTATACCCTAAACCCTAAACCCTAAACCCTAAACCCTAAACCCTAAACCCTAAACCCTAAACCCTAAACCCTAAACCCTAAACCCTAAACCCTAAACCTAAACCCTAAACCCTCCCTAACCCTACACCCTAACCCTAACACCCTACACCCTACACCCTACACCCTACCCTAACCCTACCCCTAAACACCTAACACCCTAAACCCTACTAAACCCTAAACCCTAAACCCTAAACCCTAAACCCTAAACCCTAAACCCTCCCTACACACCCTAACCCCTAAACCCTAAACCCTAAAACCCTAAACCCTAAACCCTACACCCTACACCCTAAACCCTATACCCTACACCCTAAACCCTAAACCCTAAACCCTAAACCCTAAACCCTAAACCCTAAACCCTAAACCCTAAACCCTAAACCCTAAACCCTAAACCCTAAAACCTAAACCCTAAACCTAAACCCAAAACCTCTCTTTCATATATAATTTAAATGTTAAGGAGTTACTGGGCAAGGTCATTTTCTTTTACTGGGCAAGGTCATTTTTTTACTGGGCAAGGTCATTTTTTTACTGGGCAAGGTCATTTTTTTACTGGGCAAGGTCGTTTCGTCCAAAAAAACGACCTTGTCCAGTAAAAAATGACCTTGCCCAGTAAAAAATGACCTTGCCCAGTGAAAAAAGATGACCTTGCCCAGTAAAATGTTGCTGGGCAAGGTCATCTTTTTACTGGGCAAGGTCATTTTTTTACTGGGCAAGGTCATTTTTTTACTGGGCAAGGTCATCTTTTTACTGGGCAAGGTCATTTTTTTACTGGGCAAGGTCATTTTTTTACTGGGCAAGGTAATTTTTTTACTGGGCAAGGTCATTACTGGGCAAGGTCATTTTTTTTTGGGCAAGGTCATTTTTTTACTGGGCAAGGTCGTTTTTTTACTGGGCAAGGTCATTTTTTTACTGGGCAAGGCCATTTTTTTACTGGGCAAGGCCATTTTTTTACTGGGCAAGGTCATTTTTTTACTGGGCAAGGTCATTACTGGGCAAGGTCCTTTTTTATTGGGCAAGGTCCTTTTTTTACTGGGCAAGGTCATTTTTTTACTGGGCAAGGTCGTTTTTTTACTGGGCAAGGTCATTTTTTTACTGGGCAAGGTCATTTTTTTACTGGGCAAGGTCATTTTTTTTTACTGGGCAAGGTCGTTCCATAAGTGAAATATTTTCATAATGTTGTGGAATTCTTCGGGCGGGTGGGTATTTTTCTGGAGTAATTTCTTGACAAGTGAATGCTTGGACCTGACATGCTGAACCCTAAACCCTAAACCCTAAACCCTAAACCCTAAACCCTAAACCCTAAACCCTAAACCCTAAACCCTAAACCCTAAACCCTAAACCCTAAACCCTAAACTTAAAACCCTAAACCCTAAACCCTAAACCCTAAACCCTAAACCCTAAACCCTAAAGAACCCTGAACCCTAAGCCCTAAGCCCTAAACACTAAACCCATGAGCGGGCTCTGCGGGCCTCAGGGCATCACCGAAGCGGCGGCTTCTCAGAATGCAGATGGCATGCTGCAATCTGTGGTGTTCTTTTGAGTGCTTGGTGTTTGCAATTTCGGGGGCTTACTATTTGGGGGTCTATATGAGGGGTCCCCTAGGTTCGTAGACCGCCGTGTGAGCTTAACGTACCTTTACCAGTTTTGGCAGCCTTTAGCAGCTTGAGCAACTTTAGCAGCTTTAGCTTCGAGCTCAGCGTTCTTTCCTTCAGAGCTGTGGCTTGTTTAGCGATAAAGCTTGCATACGGCGAGCCGAAGGGAGTGGAGTCAAGGACGTGCGGTCATCCAATGCCAGGTTGTAAACAACGCAAGAACCGCGTAAGATTGTGTTATATATATATATATATATATATTATAGGTATATGTATATATTTGGGCCTCACTCTCGGCCCTGTGCTGAAATCTGTTGGATCTGCCCTTTCTTCCCAGGAAGACCCAGCCGCCCGGGAGCACAGCTGAATCACAGCAGGCTCCTTGTGCAATGTCGGACTAATTGTTGAAGAGCAGATAGCCAGCTGAAAGTGAACATGCTTGGGGTCGTTTCACACCAACCTGTCTGCCGATAGCCGCTGAGTGAGAAGTATCGCTCCCGGGCAGGTGCAACCGGCGAGCTGGGAGACTGAGATCTTGGCTTTGCGGAAGCTCTGCCAAACGATTCACGAATGGAGGTGGTAGGACGGGAGTTCTGCGGAAAAACAAGAACCATATGAAGAAGTCACGAAAAGACTGGCCAGATTGAGCTCAGGATCGAGTTCAAGGATCTGCAGGCGCAGCTGTGCGCTGCGGTAGCCGAAATGGCTGAGCAGAAGAAGATCATGGAGCTGGAGAGGTCGGGGGGCGATTTTGAGCCTTCGCCATGCTCCGTCGTCTTGGCAGGGCAGTCCCCGATGCTCTATCTCATGCCGTAGGGAAACATGCAACAAAGAGCCCAATACCCCTGAGTAAGGAATAGTACCGCAACTTATATAGGGATGTAAGGCATATTCCTTACTTGAAGGGTATTGGGCTCTTTGGGACAACAAATAGGAACCGTGAGCTGAAGAGCCTTGGATGTAAACCGGTCAGTCATCGAGGACCACTGCCAATCACAAGAGAGAGCGTTGTCATTGGCGAACAGAGGCCCGCTCTCTTTGTTCCTCTTGCTTCCTGAGCAGGCAGCAGTGGGCCGCCGAACGAGAGGCCTTGCGCTGCGTTTGCCGAAGATTTTTGTTAGGCTCTTGAGGTAATGAAGGTGAGGGTGTGGGCAGCAGGGGCCCAGTGCAGTAGGGCTTTGAGTCGTTTTGGGTTGACGGCCTTGGTTCTGTGCTCAGAGTGCTCTCCCCAGAGCCCTTTTTTAATGCGCTTAAGGCAGATGTTTTTTGGGAGAAGGCCCTGCGCGCTTCGCTGGCGCTGCTGAAAGCCGAGCGGCCCAGCCAGGTGCCTCCTCCGGGTTTAGGAGTTGTAGTGGTCCCCACAGCCTTTTGCGTGCGAAAGAAGGGTGTGCGCCGAGTTTCTAAGTGCTTTTTCACCAGAAGAATGTTTGCGGTCAGTTGCGAGGCGGAGGAGTTTGTCATCCACTCCGACAGTGAGGAGGAGGAGGCCAGCTGCGCATACTTTTGGGAGGTGCTTTGTTTAATCCCCACGTCAGGATGACACACGCGATATCGAAAGCCCCAAGTTTTAAAGCCCCAAACCCAAGACTTGCACTAGAGGCTCAAGCTTCTTCAAGAAGGTCCGTTTTGAAGGCCTGGTGGAAGAAGGTTCTCGAACCCAAAAAACCTTTCCGGCGCTTCCACTTGTCGACTCGGGCCGCTCACTTTCCGAGACCGGGGTCATGGTTTCGGGGGACGCTCTCGGGGGCGCCGTTCCCACACGCATCGTCGCTCTCACAGGCCAGAGCGTGCTTCTTGATTCTTCCTCACGGGGGAGGGCTCCTTGAAGAACAGATGTTGTCAGTGGAGCTTGAGCTGTCGATGCTGTTAGCCGGATGCTGCTCTCGTTTCAACTCTGTGCCTGCAGAACCACCACGGACTGGCGGGCTGGTAGTTACGACATAGTGCCCTGTTCTCCTGCCTCCCGACATTCGTTTCTTGAATAGGGGCCCAAATTGGGGTCTAAGGGCCCTTTTTAGGGGAGATTCCGAAAAAAGAGAGTTATAAGGATTCTACTTATAAGGATTCTACTATTGGGGTATAAGGGCCCCTTTTTAGGGGGGATTCCTACAAAAGACCCCTGTTTCTAGGATTCCCCTAAACCCTTATCCTTAAACCCTAAACCCTAAACCCCAAACCCCAAACCCCAAACCCCAAACCCTAAACCCTAAACCCTAAACCCTAAACCCTATGTTCACGTGCGCTTTTTTTGGGCCCCGCTTGTAGGAGCCGGAGCTGCCCGATAAACAACCAATAGTACCTCCAGCAAAAACGTCCTAATTCAACGAGAGCTTTTCGGTGTTGGGGGGGTTTCTTTCTATAAGGGTTTAGGGTTTGGGTTTTAGGGCTAGGATTTAGGGCTTAGGCTTTCGGGTTTAGGGTTTAGGGATTAAGGGTTTAGGGTACCCCAACCTAGAATCTTCGTCCACCGGAGCTGTGAATTGTTTCAGGCCTCCTCGCAAGGCTGCTTTCCAGCGGCAGTAGTATCCACGTAGCGTCCACGTCGTGTCCTCGTAGTGTCCACGTAGTGTCCACGTTGTGTCCACATAGTTTCGCGATGTTTCGCGTGGCTTCAGTGTGTTTCTTTGTGGCGCAAGCTGTGAGAAGTCTGAAGTTCCACATGCGCGTCAGGTGAGCACCCTTGGTTCCGAGACGCCGCCAGTACAGGCCGCTCAATTGGAATGCCCCCCTTGGGTTTAGGGTTTAGGGTTTACCCACGTGTGTGCACGTTGCTCCATGCGCACTCACACCAGATGTCGTGACTCATAATGACTCGGAAACCTCATAGCCTGAAGCCCAAACCCGGGCCAAACCCTGCAAGCCCTGAATCCCGAGGTGCGCAGTTTCGTGAGCGATGTGTTAAACCCTAAACCCTAAACCCTAAACCCTAAACCCGAAACCGTACTTTCTAAACCCTAAACCCTAAAACGCCCGAAACCCTAAACCCTAAAACCCGAAACCCTAAATTCTAAACCCTAAACCCTAAAACGCCCGAAGCCCTAACCCCAAACCCTAAACCCTAAACCCGAAACCCTAAGTTCTAAACTCTAAACCCTAGAACGCCCGAAGCCCTAAACCCTAAGCCCTAAACCCGAGTTTGCGAAGCTGTTTGGAGGATGCGGCAGACATCGACGCAGCAGGCAACCCTTGGGAGGTTGAGGGCTTAGGCGGCAAACCGCCAGATGCGGGTGCCAGGATCGGTCCCCTTCGTCTCCAGGGTTTCGGGTTTAGGGTTTACGGTTTAGGGTTTAGGGTCCATACTCCCCATAAGGGGAAGCCTTTTTTAAGGGGGTATATTGGGGGTGTACGAAAATAAAGGACCCCTACTTTTCCAAAGAGTAGGACTTCTAAATCAGGGACCCTAATAGGGTGCCCCTGAATTTCGGAAACCCCCTCTGGGTAGTTCCCTAAATAGGGTCGCTTTTGAAAACAGTACGGCAGCTAGAACTGTTTTCGGAACTCCCCATATTGGGTATGCTTTGAAGAGACGCCCCGGGATTAACCCCAAACCCTAAACCCTCTCTACCTATGTATATTTAAACCTTAATGGGGTCGTGTTCTGATTATGATTTTTTGAGGCTTTAGGATTTAGGATTTAGGATTTAGGATTTAGGATTTAGGATTTAGGATTTAGGATTTAGGATTTAGGATTTAGGATTTAGGATTTAGGATTTAGGATTCAGGATTTAGGATTTAGGATTTAGGGTTCAGGGGCCTCTCGGGCGAGGCCCGGCTTCGTAATTTAGTATTCGGGCGAGGCCCGGCTTCGTAATTTAGTATTCCGGGGAGGCCCGGCTTCGTAATTTAGTATTCCGGGGAGGCCCGGCTTCGTAATTTAGTATTCCTTGGAGGCCCGGCTTCGTAATTTAGTATTCCGGGGAGGCCCGGCTTCGTAATTTAGTATTCCGGCGAAGCCCGGCTTCGTAATTTAAGATTCCGGGGAGGTCCGGCTTCGTAATTTAGTATTCCGGGGAGGCCCGGGACTTGCTGGGAGGGGCCGTTTTGGTCAAAAATCCAGAAAACGAGAGGCCACCCAGAGGCGTCGATTTCAGTACTAAAAAATCGCATTTTTAATTGGGACCCGGGCCGATCCTGGGGTCCCCCCTCATTTGGGGTGTTTTTTGGAGGCAAACTTTCCCTCTGAAGGGGGGGTCGGAGTTTGAGGCAAGGGGGGGTCTCCGAAGACTATTTTGCCTTTAAAATTGAAAAATACGACCCCCCCTTGACCAAAACTAGGCTGTGAAAGGATCGCGGGGGCGGCCCTTCATCATAATTGAGGGTTACAAACCCTGAAACACCCTGAAAAACATTGGAAAACCATAAAAAAACACTGAAAAACCTTGAAAAACCTTGAAAAACTTGAAATCCTGAAACCGGTGAAGGCTCGGTTTTGGTCAAAATCCAGAAAACGAGAGGCCACCCAGAGGCGTCGATTTCAGTACTAAACAATCGCATTTTTAATTGGGACCCGGGCCGATCCTGGGGTCCCCCTCATTTGGGGTGTTTTTGGAGGCAAACTTTCCCTCTCAAGGGGGGGTCGGAGTTTGAGGCAAGGGGGGGTCTCCGAAGACTATTTTGCCTTTAAAATTGAAAAATGCCAGCCCCCCCTTGACCAAAATTAGGCTGTGAAAAGGTCGCGGGGGCGGCCCTTCATCAGAACTGAGGCTTAAAAACCCTGAAAAACATTGAAAAACCTTAAAAAACATTGAAAAACTCTGAAAAACCTTGAAGAACTTGCAATCCTGAGGTGAAGGCTCCGTTTTGGTGAAAAAATCCAGAAAACGAGAGCCCAATCCTGGGGTCCCCCTCATTTGGGGTGTTTTTGGAGGCAAACTTTCCCTCTCAAGGGGGGTCGGAATTTGAGGCAAGGGGGGGTCTCCGAAGACTATTTTGCCTTTAAAATTGAAAAACACCACCCCCCCTTGACCAAAACTAGGCCGTGAAAAGGTCGCGGGGGCGGCCCTTCATCAGAACTGAGGCTTAAAAACCCTGAAAAACATTGAAAAACCTTAAAAAATATTGAAAAACTCTGAAAAACCTTGAAAAACCTTGAAAAATTGGAAATTTTGAAACCGGTTGTATTATCCGTGCGCCGAATTGACTAGACGGTGCCGAATCGGGAAAGAATGTTGCGAGCTAAATGATCAACCAAAGTAAGAAAGAAGATATGTATTTCAGATGAAGAGGGATCTGGGAGGGAGGGGTGATGCCAAACACGTATGGTGATGACAAAAACCCTTAGTGAATGCTTGGACCAGAGATGCTGAACCCTAAACCCTAAACCCTAAACCCTAAACCCTAAACCCTAAACCCTAAACCCTAAACCCTAAACCCTAAACCCTAAACCCTAAACCCTAAACCATAAACCCTAAACCCAAAACCATAAACCCTAAACCCTAAACCCTAAACCCTAAACCCTAAACCCTAAACCCTAAACCCTAAACCCCAAACCCTAAACCCAAACCCCCCCCCCCCCCATATCGGGTATGTTTTGAAGAGACATGTTCCCAGTTCTTGGGAGGCCACGCGCCCAACGGCGCGACAGCCGGCTGCGGTGGAGATGAGCTCGGACCCGAGCCCGAGGAGAGGTGCAGGGTTTAAAAGTTTAGGGTTTGGGGTTTAGGGTTTAGGGTTTAGGGTTTAGGGTTTGAGGTTTGAGGTTTCAGAAATAGTGAGCCCTCTTTTCCAGAGATCCCGAGGGAGAGTTGGCTGTGTTAGGTAGCGCGTGGTAAACTCCAGGAGAGCGCTCTCAGAGCTGCTTCTTCTGCATCGCAGTTCGTTGAGAAACTTGTTGCGAAACCTCCGTAGAGAGAGAGAGAGAGAGAGAGAGAGAGAGGGAGATATAGAGAGAGAGAGAGGGAGATATATAGAGAGAGAGAGGGCGCTCTTCAAGCACTGAATTCGGCTGGAGCTCCCGGGGCCGGGATCCCTGAACCTCTGCCTCCTCAAGTTTCGCTCCGGGTGCTCCCTAAAGTCGCCCTTGGAAACTCCCCACGAGGTTTCCAGGTTTGAAGAGAGTCGCGTCGTTCGTCCCAAGATTTGTGGCACCTTTGCAGCCCTCTGCACCCGGGAGGATCTGCATGGCCAAGATGGTCGGGGAGCCAAGAGCGCGCGAAGCAGTTTGCAGAGCTGGGGAGAGGAGGGGGTTTACGAAAACAAGGGCCTAGTATAGACCCCAAGTAGCAGGGTTCCCTTACACTGCGTGCCTGACATTAAATCAAGGACCCCAATAAGGTACCCCCGAATTTCGGAAGGTCCAGGAGAGGCAGAGAGCAGCTTCTTTTAAGCGCGGCAAGCTGATAGTCTCCGGAGCCAAAACCCCCAAATATGAAGCGCAGTTCCAGCTGAGGCGCTGTCTGGCCATGGCCGCCCGCGGCGGCGCAAGCAGTCCCTGACCTGAAGACCCCCAAAAGGCTTCAGGCTCTGGGGTCAAGGCGTTACTCTGTTCATAACGCGAAGCTGGACATGCTTCTGCAGGGCAGGTTTCTTGGGTCGCTTTCATGGCGAGGCTGCTTCATCTTGGACTTGCTATCCCTAGTCTGTGTCTGACCCTCTTTACCCCTGACCTTGAACTCATATGGGGGTTTCCGAAATTCGGGACCCATTGGGATCGGATTATTTGGGCATCTCTATTTTTAGGGGTCCCTATGTTCGTAAAGCCCCAAATGGCTCGATGTTGTGGGCAGGGTTGTCCAGCTTTAAGAGGGCGGTTCTGGCCATCGCCCTTTACCCTATGAAACCCTAAACCCTAAACCCTACACCCTACACCCTAAACCCCTAAACCCTACACTCCCCTTTGCCCCAAGGCATCCTGCGAGTGCCACTACACTCCCGGCACCTGTGACGCTTGCAAGGCCCATGACCTTGGGGGGAAACATTAGGGTTTAGGGTTTAGGGGGTTTAGGGTCTAGGGGGTTTAGGGTTTAGGGGGTTTAGGGTTTAGGGTCGAATTTTTTCAAGATGGGCAAACGACAGGATGCGGCCTGCATCTGTTTCGTTTAGCTGTGGGGGTGAGTCTCAGAATCTGCGTTTCCTCATGTGAGTTCCAGAAGCTGGAGAGGCCTCCGTATCAAGCCTTGGGGAAACATGTCTTTGGCGCATTCGATAACGTAATTGCGTTGGGTGCGGAGCAGCCACATTCAGGAGAGGGAGGGGAACGTGTCAGCAAAAGAGTCAAGAACATGGCCTTGAGTCAGGAACGGGAAAGCCACGACGGGGAAACCGGGAGAAGACAAGCAATTCCGGCAAGCGCCGGTTTTGCTCGTGATGTGTAGAACTAATGGATTCTTGTGGGAAGAATTCGTGCCCGAGTGACCACCGACGCTTGGCAAGCCAGAGCGGTGACTGGGGCACAAATTCAACCCGAAAGATCTCCCAAAAAGCCTCCACAGTTTGCTCTCGTAAGGGCACCCAAAGGGCTCCCGCAAGATGCACGCGCAGTGGCCCATAGACCCAAAACATCCGAAGCACAACCTGGCCAAGCTCCCAGGGCACAAAAGGCTTCCTGAATTCCTCTCGCTAGTTTTTTGATCTTGTCCGGGCTGTTTGCGACTTTGTTTCGTGGATGTGGCCGTGTCCAGCATGCTGTTTCAGCCTCCCGAGCCGCGAATGTTTTGGGTCCTAGCTGCCCGCAGCCCCCGAATCCCTCCAGTAGGCTGCAGGCTTCAGTGGACATGATCGTTTCCTTGAGGCGCTCTTCGGGAGTGGCCCGAATTGCACGCCCAGGGCCGCGACCTCAGGGTTTAGGGTTTAGTGTTTAGGGTTTAGGGTTTAGGGTTTAGGGCCACTAGCAAGGTAAGAGTTCAGCCGAGCAATCGGAGCCGAAGCCTCACAAGACCAATCCCCCAGGACAACGGGAGCCAAAAACCCAACCGCCAAGAACTTCCCCCCGAGGCAGCCAAAACCCAAAGACAAGTCGGGGGTTCTTACCATTGCGCCTTGACTGTTGTTGCCTCGAAAGAAGTTTCTCATTGGCTTTGGTTGTGACTGTTTCAGCAGTTTTCTTGCGAAAGGGTATGGTGGGCCCGTTGCCTTCTTGAACCACCGCAAGCGCATTCAAGCAATGCCTGGAACACCACGGAATGAGATAAGGCAAACCATTTCCAGAGCAAATTGCGGGACTCTCATGCGCACCCCATGCAGCGGTTTAGGGTTTAGGGTCTAGGGTTTAGGGTTTTAGGGTTGAGGGTTTTAGGGTTGATATCAGCTTGGCTGCCCGTTTGCTTCGTTTACAGGCGATGCGGCGGCTGACGCTGGGCGCGGACCAGGAGCACCGCCTCAACAGCCACTCGGCGACTCTCGCAAGACTCATGTTCCAGGACACTGAAACCTGGGTAGCTCACTTTTAACCCTTTTTGGGTATATATGATCCTATTGTCAAATGAAGGTTAGCCTCTTTTAGGGCTGAGGTACTCAGCCCCGAAGTAGGAAAAGCCCCTTGGTGCTGGTTCCTTTCGGAGTTCAGGCTACCGGCGGTTGCACCTCAAGCGGCACCCCTGCTGAGCTGCAGAGCTGAGAAAACAGGGCTCCTCATGGGACGGTGCAGATTTTACATGATGACGTAGCTCACTGCATAACACTTTCAACCTTTGGCCTTTATCCACCGTTTATGGCCCCAACGATAAATCTCTGTGTAGACTCGAAAGTTAACCCCTGAATTTTTGTGGGGTACTCAACAACTAGGGGAACAAGCCGTTCAGGTCAGCAAGTCGTCGTGTCGACTTTCTAGCTATATAACCCCCCTCCTACCGCATCATGACAAGTGAACTGTTGCAGCCAGTTGTTCCTTAAGCCCTTGCTAAGCGCGGCTTGCATTGAGCATATACTGCAGATCCCATCGCATCTCTGTAGCGCCCCAAGCCAACTGCTTGCGAGCTCTTTGAAAGTGGTTCCTGGAAATATGCCACCATGCTCGTGTGACGTCGTGTTGCTCGAAATGACGAGGTTTTTAGCATGCAGAAGGCGGATGGGTTAACTTTACTTCTCTTTTGGGCACCAGAAGGCCTCGTCGGCCTGAACCCATCATACCACTCAGACCCTAAGCCCTAACCCTGTAGCCCTAAGAATTCAAGGGAGCCTCAACCCCTGAAAGCCCTCAACCCTTGCCAGTAGGAGCGCTTCCATATCCCAAACTCAGTTCTGCTGCAGCATTGCCAGAGGTTTCCCAAAGTGTTGTCAGGCCACTTCCACCCGTTTCTAGGACTGAGCGCTGTTTCTGTGCAAGCATCTTCAAAGTTTCGATGGGCGTCGTGCCGGTGCTTCGTTCTCTTCAAAGCGCCCGGTCTTTTTTTGCAGAGTGCATAGCTCGACTTGCTTCGGATCCTGCTCTCGGCTTCTGCCCTGGTTCAGTGCAGTCGTTTTTCATTGGGATGTTCAGCAATCGCACTACAGAGAGAGCGCCTCAGACGAAATGGCATGTGGCAGCAAATGTCTTCGGATCCTTCGCCTGAGGTTCTGGGTTTCGGCGGCATTTTGTTATTTTCAGGCGCTGTTTCCATTATTCTCTAAACTCCTCAAGCTCCTGCCTGGACGTTTGTGGATCAGAGATGCCCCTCCCTTTTCGCACATCCTCGACTTCATTGGGGCGGAATCATCTTGACGCTTCATGGGGGGCATTGGCTCCATGAGTCCCCCCGATGTTGCAAGAAGCGAGCACGGAAATGCGGTCACCCTAAGCCCCTTACACCCCTTACACCCCTAAACCCCCCTAAAGCCCCTAAAGCCCCCGAAGGCCCTAAAACCCATCAACCCCTTTTTTGCGCCTGGGGATGCCGCTTTGAGCTCAGCAGAACCTGGGGGTTGGGTGGCTGCTCTTCGGGCAAAGTGAGGACAGAAGAGGGTTTAGGGTTTCGGCTTTAGGGCTTTGGGGGGGGGTTTCGAGGTTGAGGGGGCTTAGGGGGTGCAGGGAGGGGGGTTCAGGGGGTTCAATAGGGGTTTAGGGGGGTTTCCTGGAGTATTTAGGGGGGGTTAGAGATTAGGCGGAGTTTAGGGGGCTTAGGGGGCTTAGGGGGTTTGGGGTTTTGGGGGGGGATTGGGGATCAGATTGGCTTTTTGTGCAGGATAGTGAGTGTTAATGCCTTGCTTCTCTGTGGGTTTGGGGTAGACGGCAGCTGCTATGCATGCTTGCAACAACAACAACAACAAGAGCCACATCTGCTTCTACTACTAACCGAACATCTGCTGCTGCTAACACCACGGCTACTGCTTTCATACTTTGGAGGAGGAGCAGGAGTAACGAGAAGGAGTAGTAGCAGTAGCAGTATAGGACGTAGCAGTAGCCGTAGCAGTAGCCGTACTCCGGATGTTCTTCCGAAGCAAAGTGTGTGATCATGGACTGGCCATTCGCACTCACTGGGAACATGGATGCAATCATCGTGCGGACATTGGGGTAGTTGGTAGGGGTGTGCCTCCTCCTACTACGACGACGACTACTACCAGTACTACTACTACTACTACTACTACTACTACTACTACTACTACTACTACTACTACTACTACTACTACTACTACTACTATGCCTACTAGGCTAACGCCTTGTTCGTGACGCTGTGTTTTCCTCTACTTCCCACTGTTTTTACACGGGTGTTGAGCTGATTTTACATTCTATTTTTTTGTTGTTATGTTGTTTTTGTTCTGTTCTTTTGTTTGCATGCTGTTGAAAACATCTTTTCCTTTTCGAGATTCTTCGCAGTTTTGCTTGGGCCGGGTTTTGCACGTCATTTTGTTGTCGATTGTTTTCGCGCTTTTCGGTACTTTGTTTTGTCTTGTTTTTCCTGGTCTGTCGGGCCACCTAGCTTTTTGCTCGGGTTTTCTGCGCTTTTTCGCTCCTTCGGCATTGACAGTGTCTCCTTTCGCCTTGCGTAAAACGACTTGTTCGCCCAGCATCTTTGTGGTTTGCCTTGCCTCCGTCTTGTCGGGGTCGGGGGGGGGTAACAACGTCCAGTCCTGCAGCAACTGCTTCTGAGCTCTACTGATGTTCTCTTGGGTTTGTGGCTTAAGTCTGTTCAGCCTGTCGGTGTTTTTGGGATTGCCAGCATTAGGCTTAGGGTGGGTTTACTCTCAACGCCCAAACCCTAACCCTCAGTCCTAAATCTTGTACTCAGCATTCGAATTTGGGCTTTTCTTGGGGGGGATGAGGGTCTTGAAGAGCTTTAGGGATTTGGGCTTGCGCTGCTTTTTTGGGTGAGTGACGGGTGGGTCACGGGCCACGGGCTCAGGGTGTAAGGTTCAGGATTTTCTGCCCGCTTCGTTTAGGGTTCAGGGTGAAGGTTGAGACTTCAGGGTCTGCGGTCAAAGTACGCGAACTGTTTTGGCCTGGACGGTTTCGGGCTTGCTATGAAAGGCTTAGGGTTTAGGTTTGATTCTTCAGGGTGTGCCCGAAACCCTAAACCGATGTTTGCCCCCGCTTTTGAGAACAGGCGTAAAAAGAGTTTGCTTATGCTTGCATGCTATGTGTGTCGTTGTAAATGTGTGGTTCTTGCCTAGATTTATGCAGGACATGGCCCGCGCAGTCTGGAAGATGCTGCAGGCGCGGAAAGTTCAGAGACAGAGCTGAGTTTGAAGTTGTACTAGGGGTTGCCCAAGCCGCTAAGCCCTACACAAGCCCTAAACCCCACTCCCCCAAGCCCGCACTGGGCTGTAAGCAGGCGTTCAACGCCAACATCCTTGTGCGGATGGCCGCGGGGTGGCTCAGGGAGCAGTTGTCACAAAAGAAGGGAAGTTCTCCAGGGTTTAGGGCCTTAAGGTTCCTGTGGGCCCAGCTGAGGAACTTGACATGCTGGTCTTGTCAAAGTCCCAGCGTCCTTGTGAGATTTCAAGCACCACAGCCCAGAAACCCCAAACCCCAAACCCTGAACCCTCAGCACATGCGAAACTCTCCGGTCATCCAGAGAATTTTTCTTCTCGCGAGCCTTAAGCCTTCACGCTGAGGTCTCATGTCTACGTACTCCCTAAATGGGGGTTTGGGAAAATTAGGGCGTACCTTATTGGGTCCTTATTCTAAGGGGATCCTACGATTTGGGGTCTATTTTCGGGGTCCCCTATATTCGACATCCTTAAGCCCGCAGACGCACGAATTGGGCCGTGAACCCAACCTTGATGAAGCCATGGGCCTCCCTCCTGCGAAAAGACATTCGGAAGACGGAGCCCTAAACCCCAAGGGAAGCCCTGAACGGATGGACATTCTTCCTTTGCTCTTTACCTGCAGGTCAAAGTCCTTCGGGCTAGCCGGTTTTTCGGATGCAGTGTTCGAATCTCGGGATGCTCGACTATCTACCGGCTTCGCCTGGCCTGACGGTTCCTGAGAGCCGCAACCCGAAACCCGCCCCAAAAATCCAAACACCCTAGTCCCTAAACTCTAAACTCAAAACCCTAAACCCTAAACCCTAAACCCCGTACCCGAAACCCTACACCCCCCAAAAGCACCAAACTTTTGTGCATCCTGGGCCTGTGAGGTGTTCAGCCACGGCCTTGGATGTGCTTTCTGGGCTACTTCTATGGAATCTAGGCCACCCAAACCGAAGGTTTTTAGGCACAATGCTGTAGCTCTTAGTTGTCAAGTCTTTCTAGGCGCCATAGGGGGGGGTGGGCGGGTTGGCTGGGACAATGCCGCTTTCGTTGAGATTTCAGTTCGTCAGGGCTTCCTTAGCAATGGGTTGTGCCCAGAAAACGGAAGGTTCTCATGTTCTTCATGTATCTGTTTAGCCTGAGCCCTAAGTCACAAATGTTGGTCGTCGTGTAAGATCTGCTGTCGTTTACGTTTTTCTGGAACAGGAAGGTTTGAGGGAAGAACCACCCTTGATACAACAGGAGGCTTGCTAGGATGTCTCCAGACAGCATTTGTTTGATCCCTTGATCTGTCCATGGTAGCCCAGAACAGGATCATTAGGCAAGTTTGCAGAAGTCTGCTCATACTTCGGGTTAGGGTTCAGGGTCAGGGCCTGTTTAATTCATTGGAGTTCTAGGGTCTTCCAGTCCGGTCAGCACGAAGTAGCGAAGGAAGCTGGGCAAAAGGTGTAGAAAGTTGAAAACTTGGAGGGGCAGGAAAGAAGCTCCCTTGCGATACGTTGGGATGTTCCCCCTTATACTAGCAGTCCTTAGTAGGATTATAGTACCCCCCCCATTATCATCCCTTCTAAGGACTGTTAGTATCAGGGGAACATCCCAAGCGATACATCTTATGCCTGGCCTCGCGGAGGTGTGCTGGCTTTGGCACCCGTTCCCTGGCAGCTGGACGAGCCTTTGTTTCTGGGCGCCATAGAGGCACGCCACTACTTGTAATTACTCGTATGACTACTGGTACCACCGCCTCCACCACACCATGACGACCAGAATGACGGCTGCGACTACAAGTATGCGACGACTACGACAGCAACTGCTACTTGTTGCAGGGCCCTTCCTGCAAGCCTTGATTTTGCGGGTAGTTTCAAGGTGCGCCGTACGCACTACTTGGGTGAATACTTGGGTGACTGAGCTGCGTCCAGCTGTGATCCAGCTTGAGCTGGTTGGGCATACATACTGTTTCTGCACCCTGGCCATCTTTGCCTCAGATATGTGAGCTCCTTTGAACTTCGTTTTCCCAAAGCCAGCCTCAACCCTGTAAATCGCAGCCGCATCTATGCTGGGCTCTAGCTCTGTCAGGGCAGGCAACTGCGCGAGAGCGGGTGCACCAAACTGCCTCAGCCTCAGAAGAGCTGTTTATGCAGTGTTCGGAGGGGGTTGTTCAGGGAGGGGTGCTTTGCCTCTGGTAGGTGCAGTCGCTGTTGCTGTCTTGGCATGCGCGTGGACATATCGTGGACGTCTTGTAGGCAGATCGCTTCTTGGATGGCCTGCAACACCTTCTGGGAGTGTGTTTGGTGATTGGCATACTTTAGAGAAGTGACCCGAGGAAGTTGAGGCCATAAACTGCAGCTGCTTGTTGCTTGTCCCGCCACGCCATCCTCAGCTGCCACCCGGGTTTAGGGTTGAAGAAGGTTTAGGATTTCGGGGCTTAAAAAGATTTCGGTTTCAGAGGTTTAGGAGGATTTGGGTTTTTTGAGGTTGAGGGGGGTTGCCGTCTAGGGCTGAAGAGGTTCAAGAGGTTTCAGGGGCTCATATGAGGCCCCAGCTGCCGCTTCCCTGTGTGGGACTCATTGCCGACTGGTTCCCGCAGCACGGGCCCCAAAGTTCTTTACCTCGGGATCCGCGCTTCAGGCCACGGGTTGCCAATACAGTTTCATGTGAGTGTTGCGTGCAATTTTATGTACAAGGGTTCTGCATGTGGCCACTCGGAAGAACCCTTCAGGCATCAGATGGTTAAGGAATTGGTGGGTTCAGAGTCTTTAAATTCATTTGCAAAGTTGCCCCCCACCGAAGTCTAGTGCCCAAGCATGCGGCATGAAACAGTGTGTTTGGGCATTGGTTGAGAAAGCGCTTTTTGCATCTTTGGGAGGCTGCCTTTAAGAAATCTTGTCAAGAACTGGGGGGTTTACGATAATCAGAGCGACCCCGAAGACAGACCCGCAAGTAGTAGGATTCCTTTATACTAAGGACCCCAACGTGGTATCCCGGTATCCCCAATATCGTAAACCCCCCACATTGCTTCCATGACCTTGTCTCATGCCAAAGTGTCGCAGCGTGTGTCTCTCTGCCTAATTGCCGGCTCGGCTGGCATGCAGAACTGCTGCGAGGATATGTACACCTAACACACACACACACACACACACACACACACACACACACACACACACACACACACACACACACACACACACACACACACACACACACACACACACACACAACACACACACACACACACACACACACACACACACACACACACACACACACACACACACACACACACACACACACACACACACACACACACACACACACACACACACACACACACACACACACACACACACACACACACACACACACACACACACACACACACACACACACACACACACACACACACACACACACACACACACACACACACACACACACACACACACACACACACACACACACACACACACACACACACACACACACAACACACACACACACACACACACACACACCACACACACACACAAACACACACACACACACACACACACACACACACACACACACACACACACACACACACACAACAGAACACACACACACACACACACACACACACACACACACACACACACAACACACACACACACACACACACAGCCCACACACACACACACACACCACACACACACACACACCACACACCACCACACACACCACACCACACACACACCACACACACCACACCACACCACACCACACCACACACACCACACACACACACACACCACACACACCACACCACACCACACACACCACACACACCACACCACACACACACACCACACAACACACACAACACAACACAACACACACACACAACACAACACACACACACAACACAACACACACACACACACACACAACACACACACACACACAACACACACACACACACAAACACACACACACAAACACACACACACAACACAACACACACCACACAAACACACACCACACAAACACACACCACACAAACACACACCACACAAACACACACCACACAAACACACACACACACACACACACACACACACACACACACACACACACACACACACACACACACACACACACACACACACACACACACACACACACACACACACACACACACACACACACACACACACACACACACACACACACACACACACACACACACACACACACACACACACACACACACACACACACACACACACAGCTACTCCAACCCTCGTGCCTCGGGACCGTCCTTATAACATCCATCGCGAGAGAAGTGGAAAGCATCGCAGACTTCATCTTCAAGCCTGAGATCCCACACCCTGCACGAGGGACGGCAGCGCACGTAACTTATGTTTACATACTCCATACCAGACCAGGGATGGCAAATGTCGTCCTTGTTAGTCGTGAGAACGGCAGTCTGGGGTTGCCTCCGGTCATAACCATCCCTAACCACTGGTGGCCATTTCCTTGAGGCCGGACAACTTGCGGACCAGGCAGGGGTTTAGGCTTTGGGGTTTGGGGAGGATCAATACGACCCTCCAGTTCTTCTGGTGGAGGATTTGGGGTTTTTGGGTGTGCGAGGAGACGTTATCACTACTCTCCATTGCTGGGTGACAAGGTTGCAACAGTATTCATAGTGCTAGTACAGAGTGACTAGATACATGTACCGCTTCGAATAACTGTTGCTCACTGCTGCTGCTTCAGTTGAACGCGAGGCTGTCAGGATTTGCGGCTTTTCGACATGCATTGCTACTGTGCATAGTCTGCATGGTCCTCGCAATGTGTTGTCGGTTTTGGGCATATTGCATGGGCTGGTGCCTTCCCTCAGGCTAAACCCTAAACCCTAGATCCTTAACCCTAAGCCCTAAACCCTGAACCAACCTTCGGTTTCCCGAAGCCCTAAACAATCTGGGGTTTTTGGGGGTCGCCCCCAGCAGATCTTTCTTGTGCCAGCTTGGCCACGTTGGAGCAGTGGATGCGGGCACTGCCCCTGTGGGAGCCAATCCAGGAGAAGGAGCCGACGGCGAAGCCATACTTTAGACCTGGAGGTCCATGGTACTTGTTCGCCAATGATAACTGTACTTAGAATTGTACTTCTTACCATATTAGGGAACTTTAGCGGCCTATAAGTGGGTCATAAGTGCAGTGATAATTGGTCAATGAGTGCCATGAACCTCCAAGTAGGTATTTAGAGAATCATGATTCCATGTTCGCCTTAGAAGTTGCCCCCTTTCGAGCCATCCCACGTGAACCAATGATGTGGCGTCGGGGGAGATGTGCCCCAAAGGATTCCTTGGAGGTTTTGGGGTTAAGGGTTGAGAGTTTAGGGCTTAGCAGGTTCGGCGAGATTGTGCATTTTTGTCTGGGTCTGACGCAGAGAGTCGGAGCCGTTGCCCTATCCTTATCACCGCCAGAACAAGGACCAGAAAGTTCAACGGGAGACATCAGAAGAACTCGCATTCTCAGAACACACAAATAACCCTAAACCCCGAACCCTAAACCCTAGACCGTAAACCCCAAAACCCTAAACCCCAAACCCTAAACCCTACACCCCAAACCTCTTTCGCGCAGGACATCCTCCCTGCTGCTGAGAGTATGCCGGATGGCCCAACCCTGACGAAGCGCCGGAACAACGCGGCGCTGCTGGCCGCGGTGACCATCGGCCCGGCCCCCCAACCAAGGGTTTAGGGTTTAGGGTTTAGGGTTAGGGTTTAGGGTTTAGGGTTTAGGGTTGAGGGTTCTGAAGTGTGCCCTTGGGTTGTTTATGGTATATAAAGGGGCATCTAGGGGGTCACCTTTTGAGGGCCCATGCTAAGGGACAAGGTAGCAGGCGCAAGGGGGCTTTATTGAATACTTGGAGGTTCATGGTAAACATTAGCCAATATATCTCCTCGGCCATGCAAGTGTAATCCTGGCACTATTGCCGCAATGCCACACCCGTGTCTCTGCTTGTCAGGGTTTTTGCTGATCTTCGTTTGCCATGGTCATGGTTGATTCGCTGGTGCTTTCATGGCCGAAATTCAGAATTCTAAGAGGCTGTCACAGCTTGCCGGTCTGCAGTGCTGGACGCTCAGGTTTCTTTGTCTTCTTGGCAGAGCTCGCAGTGGTCTTCCTGAACCGGATCCCGGTTTGCCTGAAAACCTCATGTGGGTCGACGCCTTAGAGGCATCATGTGGGTTGACGCCTTCAGAATTTATAAGCAGGCACTTCGAGAGCAGTCGGCAAACCACCACTGGCCTTCTTTGCGACAGGACTGGCTCCAATCGCCAGATGGGCATGCAAAAAGGTTGGGCTCCTGGTTGTGCTTTATGGGCCCCTTAGGGCCCTTTAGGGCCTTTAAGGGCCTTTTAAGGGCCCTTGAAGGGCCTTTTTTTGGGGCCTTTGTTGTTTTCTTTCCTCGCCGTTTTGCGCACAGTGTCTCAGGAGATCCGCCAAAAGATGTCGAAGCCCAAGTCGTGGCTCCCGAAGGCTGGCAGACTCTGCTACAACATCTTACGGGGTTTTTGTAGGGAGATAAGAGTTAGGGTTTTAGTTCTTGTAAAGACATGCGAATCAGGAATGCAGTCCTTTAAATGATTATGCAGGGGGAGATAGGGCACCTCATTCCGGACAAAAGCACCATGGTCAACTGCAGCGAAAGCATCAGGTGCCAGGAAACTGCAAGGCCTGTTCATGATTTCTCACACGATCGAAGCTGCCTGCCACGAAACTCTCACGTTACAGGGTATACCCTTATTGTGCACGTGACTAGTCGCGAAAACATCACGGACAATAGGCGATAGCCTTCATAGTACAGCTCTCACAACCAATGGCGAGTGAACAATCAAGTATCACGACGGTAGTAATGACCTGCGGGAGCAAGAGTCTTGATCAATGCTGAGCAGGAAGAAATGTCTCGAAGCTCCGTTGTAGCCTGAATCAGAGCCTGGCCGGCAGCTTTCGCAAGCAAGTTTGCTTTTGCATCCGGAAAGATGCCAAAACAGCCCATCGTGATGATGAATGATGATGAATGATGAATGATGAATGATGAATGATGAATGATGAATGATGATGATGATGATGATGATGATGATGATGATGATGATGATGATCCGTGCCCTCTTCAATGAGATAATCAGATGATTCCAGATGGTCAAACGGCCAGAGCGAGAGTGGCGCGCATGGTGCCTGGGCTGCCCAATCCTCGTTGAAACTCTTTCCAGGACTCAGCGACACGACCCCCCTCATCTCTCCCGGACAAGGCCAGGACGCTGGATCTCGTGGGCAGATTCCGACTCAAAGTGGAGGGCCGCCCCTTGCCTCTGAGTGTGAAAGGCCCAGCTGCGGCCAGCAGCGTGAAGTACGAGATGGAGCTGGGTCCTGGGAAGACGGCGATCTTCCTTGCGCCGCACTCAGATCACTGAGATCCGTGTGGGGAAGCACCTGCGCACGGCGCAGGTTGGAGCTGCGAGGGACGACTGCAAGAACTACAAGCTCGGTCAGCGCTTGTGCCATGTAGCCTCAGGTCTACTACATCATCCACAACACCCTCTTATTGGCCTGTGCCTGAGTGAAAAATCCATCCTCCCAACAAGGCAAAAAACTCAAAAAAAAACTCCTGCTCTGAGGCTCTGACGTCTTGGTCCATGAGGAATGGCCTCATGTCCAGCGGGCTGGGCCTTGATTGGGAGGCGCCTCCCGACGTCCCGACATGTCCACGGGATATTGAGAACCCCTCCCTCCAGCGTCTGCTGCCTCCGGGGGTCTCTGCTCTTGACTCTAGAGACCATAGTCATCGTCTCTTCAGGAAGTATTCAAAGTGTTTGTCGTACATCCTTAGGAATTATGCCTTCATTCTTGTGATATCACACCCCGGAAAAATATGAAGGATTAGATTGTTTGCGAAGGTCCTACGGGGAGTACAGTTTAGATGGACATGGCGTTCGGCCGTCGGTTGGACTTAGGTTCTGCCCTACATCCGCGCCCACGGGGCGCAAACAAAGAATTCAGAGCTTGTTGCATGCAGCCCTAAACCCCAAACCCGAAACCCTAAACCCTAAACCCTAAACCCTAAACCCCAAACCCTAAACCCCAAACCCTAAACCCTAAACCCCAAATTCTAAACCCTAAACCCTAAACCCTAAACCCTAAACCCTAAACCCTAAACCCTAAACCCTAAACCCTAAACCCTAAACCCTAAACCCTAAACCCTAGATTTGCCTGGAGGTTCTGTGGTTTTGGCTGGTGGCGTGAGCCCTGGCCTTCACACGCTCGCTTGGTGCGGTCTGGTTCAGTTCATCCTGTTGGATTCTGATTCTGGAGCCACATGGGGGTTTAGGGTTAGAGTTTAGGGTTCATGGGGGTTTCCAAAAATAGGGGGTACCCATTTCGGGGGTTGCGATACCCGAGTATTTTGGGGTATATTGGGGAATCCCTATTTTGGGGCAATGCCCATATGCAGAGATGACGTCAACTCCAGGTATCTAACTTATCACGCAGCCCAAATTTCGTGAGACCTTTTGCCCCCCAAGAGCCTCTTGTCACAGACGGTCTTGGCCGTGGATGTGGTGGGCTACACGATTGTGTCCATTCAGGACGGGCGGGGTGCAGGCAAAAAAGAGGGCTCTGAGATGCCATATGCCAGTGACAAGTAGAATGTACATATGTAACATATCTAAACATATACACATATATACATATATACACGCATATACATATTTGCATATAATTTTGTACATATATATATGTTTATGTTGTAATGTGCGTATGTCCTGCAGGCCACCTGGATCAACCACATTGTTCCACATCCCGCTGGCGCGATGCTGTTTAGTGTCGCTGCCCCGACTATCAATGCACAGCATAGGGGCACCGATAGCCACTGACGTAGATTGATGTCAGGTGTGGTTTGGTGTGTGTGTGTGTGTGTGGGCGCGTGTGTTCTAGCAGGTGTCGTCGTTTTTATGTAGTGGTGATGCTGCTGATGGCAGTGCCGGTCGTCGAGTAGTAGGTAGCAGCCGCAATGGCAGTAGCAGCAGCTGTGGTGGTGGTGGTACGTGGAGCATCAGAGTATAGTTGTTGTGCAGACGCCGCTGGCTCCAGCGGGCGCGGTCAAACAAAAAAAAGCCTTCACCCAATTGGAACTCTGCTGTCGTGCCTGGCACGTGCTTGCCGTATGTAATGCCTTGATGGTGGTAGTTGTGGCAGTACAGCAGTCGTGGTAGTCGTGGTAGATACTAGTGGTGGTGCCGGCGGTGGCGATGAAAGGATGTTTGCCCTGTGCGGCGGAGGTTCTTCCCATTCTTGGACCACGAGTGGACCTATTGAAGGACAGCAGCCCACTGAGTGGTTCAGTGCCCGCTTTGAAACTTACTGAAATATTCGAGCCTCGGTGTTCGTGCACGTTCGGGCGCACCGTGGGCCGAAATGTTCAGTCATTTCAAAGCTCTCAAGATGAAAGCACTGGTATCTTTAGACACTTGCGAGACTTGGTCATGACCCGTGCCAGCAAAGGACGATTTTGATGGTGGCCGCCGCAGCCGTTTCTGTCTCGAACGCTTCCTGTCGCCTCGTGAAGGTCGTCAAGGTTTGGCTTCAAGATTCAATGAAGCTTCTTTCCATTCTCGCGTGCACTTTGCTGGGCGCGGGGTGGGGTGCGAAACTTCGCGGCCAGGGTGTGCGAGAGATCAACTTCGCCGACTTTGTGCAGAAGGCGGAGGCTCTGGTCAAGGCAGGGCAGGGCGTGACGCCGGAGGAGAAGGAGATCTTCGAGTCGGTGGAGAAGACCATCTTGGAGACCACCCTGCCTTCCTTAAGCGAGGCCGCGAAGAAGTCCCAGCAGCTTCTTGACACGGCCTTTGCAGGCGTCGGGGTGTGCAACGCAGAGTTTGCCACGGAGAAGGCCAAGGCGACCGCTGCCAAGGAAGAAGCTCTGGCCAAGAACTCGGCCCATGAGAAGCTCCTGGAGGACATCGCGTCCACGGCTCAGCAGGTCACGAAGCTGAGTGAGGCGCTGGGCAGCTGGATGTCGGCGAACGCCGCGCCGGAGGGTGCGCTGAAGAGCCAGCCAGCCTCGGCCGAGTTGGCCGTGACAGCATCTTGCTTCATCTTAATGTCTTCCGAGGCGTAGGTTGTTTCGCCCATCATATCTAGCCTCATGGAAGCGCCTTTTCAACCCCGTCTCTTGTACCCTAAACCCTAAACCCTCAACCCTAAACCCTATCGAGGGCCAGTCCATGCAGCCCTCAGGCACGGGCCTACGCGGAGTGGGGCCAGGGCTACGTCTCGCGCTGGGATCCCCTGGCAGCTGCCAAGCTGGTGTTCCAGGGCCTCGAGAACGACAAGGAGAAGGTTGAGGAGGAGCGAACCGAGAAGTACCTTGGAGACCAAGTTACAACCCCAAAAGGGTATCATGGTTCATATACCTCATGGCTCATGTACCTTCAAAGAGGGAGTATAGTAGCCCAATTTTTCAGGGTTCAACTGGTCTGCAAGGTACTGCAGCTGGCGTCAGATCAAGGACCTCACGATCAACAGCTACGAGGTCTGCTGGACGCAGGCCACAGCCACCTTCGCGGCCGCGCTGTCTGAGGAGGAGTCGACCTCCCAAGAGCACGTTCCAGGTGGTGCACAAGCTGCAGTGCTTGCTGCGGGTGCTGAAGGCCCCGGTGGATCAGCACCAGGCGAAGAGCGCGGAGTGTGAGGCGCAGAGTGTGGATGCCTCAGGTGTTCGCCTCCAGAAGCCGACCTTACCCCAGAAGGAAAGCGTCGAGGCCGTCCAGAGCTTCGGGATCGACGTGCGCATCGCCTGCTCGGAAGCCGAGGCTTGGGACATTTTGCCTCCCTTGGAGGCAGGCGCCGCGCCCAAGACCGTGTCCTTGCAGTTCCCCTTCTACCTGGGAGACATCGCGAGCCATCCGGGGGTGGCTGTGGAGAAGCTCTCAGAGAGCAAGGCTGTGGCCTGTGGCCGGGAGAGCAGGTGGGGAACTCCATACAGCTGCTTGGTACTTCTCTTCACCGGCTCTGGCCTCGTGGCCGGGCCAAGATATCCCGTCGGGGACTTCAAGCCCATTGAGGCAAGCCTGCTGCGGCTCTCCTCCAACAAGGTGCTCTTCTGTGGCAGGATCTCGTGGACCAAGTGCCAGGCCTTCCTGGTGGAGGGCACCAGTGTGGAGAAGTATGGCGGGCTCATCGATATTCCTCACGGGCCATCCCGCAAGGCTCTTATGAGCACAGGAGGGGAGGGGGTTCTAAATGGTCTTCAAGCCCTCAAGCAGCTTCCCAAGATCATCCCCGCATTCATAGGCCGTAGTGTGCTGGTTGTGTCGGTGACATGTTCCAAATCATTCCCGTCTCCCGAAGGAGTCGCGCTGGAGGACGGCAAGGTGTTGCTTTGCCAGAACGAGGACTATGAATGGGCCAAGAATGCCCACATCACCTGTGCTGTGGTCACTGACACCGGCTCCAGCATGTCTGTCGGCAGCTTGGCCACCCTCAAGGAGGGGCTCACGCATGCCTATGCGTATGCTGCCTTGGCAGCGGTTGCTCCCGACAGCGTCTTCGTCTGCCACGATGATCATGCCAAGCACTACTGCGGCATGCTGCAGATCAAAGGCACCAACGTGGAAGGGCCGGCATCGTGGGTTCTTGCGCCCATGAACGGATACGAGCCTGCCGTGGAGATTCTCAACTCGAACATGGCCATGCTCTGTGTGTCCGCCTCCCACCAGTGCTCTTTGTTCTCCGTCTCCGGCACATCGGCGACGTCCATCCCAGACACCTTGGCAAAGGCGCCGGTCACCAAGGGCGAGAACAAAGGTCCCAGGATGGCGCGCCTCTGGGCCGACGCTGTCACCTACTGCTGGACGGAATTCGAGAGTGTGGGCCGTACCCCCTGGTGCACGTCGGCCACGGTGAAGGACCAGAAGATCACCTGGGGCACCAAGGAACGCCTGGCGGTCGGATGGAGCAACCGTGTGGCCATGGCGGATCTGGGCCCGGGGAAGGTCTTGGCCTGCTACTCGGATTGGGACAAGGATCGCCAGGGCGACCTCGTCAAGTCCGGCTGCGCAGGATTCGTCCTCCCCCAGTGACCAGTGACGCGCGGTGAGAGTGCCAGTCAAAAGTCCCCCCGACTTGCTGCGCATGCTGTGGCAGAAGCTTCCCTGAGCCCTAAATTCCCCTTAAATTCCCTACATTCCCTTAAATTCCCTAAACCTCCACTCTCTGGCGAAGTTCCCATTCCAGGACTGCCTTTTTGTCGGCGCGGTCTTTCAGCTGGCCGTTTGCGCTGAAAGCCACACCGCCCGGCTGCTAGGCGGGACCTTCTGAAGCCTCCAGCTTTCGAGTTGTGTAAGATATCCCGATATGTTGGGGAGCTCAAGACGCCTTGAACGGAGTGTACCATCAGCTAGCAGTAAGGAGGCCCCTTATCATGAAATAAGGAGTATTCCCTTCGGCTCCCTGGGTAAAATTCAGTCAGTATGGGAGGCTCTCAGCCTTAACCTGAAGATGTCGGGGAGGGGAGAGAGTTGAGAAGGGATCTTGGGGATTGAGCCTCAGCCGAGAAGTCATTCAGATGTTGTCAGTTCTCAAGTTTGAATCCACTCTAGCTTTTTGTGGCCCAAACGAAGCAAAGAGCTGTGAATGACAGGCATGTGGTTCGGCAACCTGGCCCTCATTACCATATTTGCGCCCGCGCCGCTCTTGCAGATCTCTCAGAAGTCTTGCCAGTGTGTGGCGGCGGTTTTTGGGGAGGTTTGGCACTGACAACCATAATGGCAGTAATAATCGTGAAGATGACAGTGACAATGAAACCCTAAACCCTAAACCCTGAACCCTAAACCCTAAACCCTAAACCCTAAACCCTAAACCCTAAACCCCAAACCCCTAAACCCTAAACCCTAAACCCTAACCCCCTAAACCCTACACAATGGGTAGATGTGCAGTTGCCAGTGTCATGCAGGCTTCTGTGATCTTTGCCGTGACCTTCATGTTTGTTCGCCCGCCTGTAAGGATGGTCGAGCCGAGCACGAGGAGCCACTGGGGCACTTTGGGAATTTCGGGTTTAGGGTTAGGGTTTAGGGTTTGGGGCACTTTGGGAGTTTCGGGTTTAGGGTTAGGGTTTAGGGTTTAGGGTTTAGGGTTTGGGGTTTAGGGTTTAGGGTTTAGGGTTTCGGGTTCAGGGTTCAGGCTTTAGGGTTTAGGGTTTGGGGTTTCGGCGTAACGGTGTGGCAAGAAGCGGTCTGTTGATTGTAGAGCCGTCGCCGCAAATTCGAAGAGTCTGTTCCTCTGTCGCTACTGGAATCCTTTTTATTGCTGTACAGCCTGATTTGCTTTAAGGCTGCACAGCGTATCTGAGCCTCAGCCGGTTTGGTGAGAAGGTGTGGACGAAGTGCGAGCTAATTCTCATGGTCAATGCGTCTTGCGTCTTCTGTGTAGGCAGGTAGGTTTCACCAATCATTTTTTATCATTTGTATTGCCCTTAAACCCTATGTAATCCTTCTTAAAGCCATAGCAATTCAAATTTCATAAGGTCCCCAAACCTGTGTCAGTGTGTAGAAGGGCAGGAGCGCGAGGGTCTTCATCACGCTAAGTGTCAGAGCAGTCAGAGAGGGACGAAGGAGAGAACCCTTAGACCCTAAAACCCTGTCAAGCCTTAGACCCTTAAAACCCTTAAACCCTGTAAACCCCAAAGCCCTTCAACCCTCCACCCGTAAAACCCCTAACCCTTCAAACCCTTAAAACCCCAGAACCCCTAAGACCCTTAAAAGCCCTTTAAAGCCCAACAACCTCGAAGCCCTGAACCCGTCGAACCCTCAAAAACCCTTAAACCGTGAACCTCCCTTAAAAGCACCCTAAAGCCCGCAAGCCTACCGGTGCACTTGAGGAGGGACCTTGCCAGAGAGTTTTTGGCCGCCTTGGTGGCCAGACTCAAGGAGGCTCCCGGTGCTGGCCTGCTAGGTTGAGGGTTCTTGGTTATCGTTGTGGGTTGTGTAAGGCTTAAGTAGGTTTAAGGCTTGAGGGTTTGGGATGAGGGTATAGGAGGCATGTATGTGTCTGTACTCACGCACATGCTCAGGCTCTCACACAAAGAGGAATGTCGTGAGCAGAGGCAGCGTCCAGCACCCAGGTTGCTGTTCTCATGAAGGGTAGTTTTCTGGTCCCTTCTTATGGTCCTTCTCTTCTTTAAAGGGTGCTGAAGCATGGGCCCTTTTCGTTTTATAGGTTATATAGGGGGTATATAATACCTTGATCCTTACCCCAGGACCCGCCAGAAAAGAGTGCCCTGATTCTCGGAAAGCCTCGCTTACGGCCCAGCAGACCTGTGCCCTGCTAGGCGCCGCAGCCAGTGCAGCAGGCTTCCGCATATATTAGCAGGTTCTGAATCTTCTGGGTTCGTGTTTCGGATCTTATATTGAGCTACCCCATTCTGACAACTCAAATTAGGGCTTAGGGCTTCAGGAGTTGGACTTCGACTGGATGGTGTTGGGCTGTGGGGAATCTTCTTCTTCTCTGCCACCATGTTGGGGTGTGTACTCTAGGAGCCTGAAAGAATTAGAACAAGGATTTGGGGGTTATTATGGTATAATGACAAACGGACCACAAGGGAATATTACTAGTACTTATTCCGACCCCTATATTACATTCCGTTTCCTCCCTTGGACGGGGGCCTGTCGCAGTATATGAGGGGAACTTTAAAAGGGCACAACCCTATAGGGGTACCAGTCTTAATCCCTTGACATTGCCCTCACAATAAATTGGGTCGAGTTGCCGCCTGCTGCAGCAACTGCAGTGCTACCTGCATGGGTCAGGCAATCCCCAAACCTCCTCATGGGCGAGCATGTGTTGTTCCTTGAGTCTACTTGTCTAACATGTATCACACGTTCCACACATTCAGTGATCTTTTGAGCACTGGCACCTTTTGGTAGAGTGAGAAGATCAAATGCATGCAGGACAAACTCGGAAGATAATTTGTGCATACATGGCAACAGATACATGAGATTCGTAGGCGCGTGTGCAGAAGTCCAGCAGCATTCAGATACATTTGAACAGGTTCATGGTCATACCCACGCGCATAAGCCCACATGCAAGCATATGTACATGCAAGTCCACATGTGCCGGGAA